GTGTCCCGATTGTGTTTTGAGGTTTAACTGATAAACACCTGATGAATGATTTGATGATTTGCTGAGAGAATATGAGAGGATATGAACCGCTGAAATCACTCTTCCCTTTTCAATAAACGCGAGCGATTCTTGAAACAACTAATTGCATGTGCAATGCTTGAAATTTCAGTTGAAGATCATCCCATTATATCAACTGAAAGCAGGATATAACTACTCCGCCGGTAAGTCTTTGTCGCGCTGAAGTACCAGGTATTATCCAATCCAATATAGCCCTACAAAAATCAAACTACTGCCGACTAACAGAGTGCGTAAATGGCCCTTCAAACAGTCAGAATTCCTGCATAATCTTACACAACAAGAAACCTTAAAAATGAATGTCAATATACTTAGCTCAGAGGAAATCGTGACCCAAAACAAATCTTCTCTACCCTGTCTACGCTGACCTTTTATGGCAAAAAAAAGCTGGTATTTTTTATATTGTACAATGGCAAAAAGAGGACACTAAAATTAAAACTGATTTGAATTAGTTTGAGCGCCCTTAGCTTATGGCGCAGAACGAGTTCCGGAGTTTGTTATATTGAAATAAAAAATTCAGATTTAAGCTTCCTAGCGAGACGCCAAATTTTTTTTGTTGACAAAATCTGAGCGAACACTTTAATATTTCCTGTTCTTTCAGCGGATTTATTTTAAAAAAAGATACTAAACTTTTTAATTCCACAACACACAGCTGAAACACGACTGCTTGCCATGCGTTCAATGACTCTTGATCTTTTCCCAGCGCTTCAAGTCTGCTAGTTGTTTTTCCTGTATATTATTAAGTTAGCGACTATCCACCGATCGCGAAGGAAAACAGAGACTCCAAAGCGAACCGCGATAATACGCTTGGCACTCTTGCAATGCAAAGATAACAATTAACGTAAAACGTTAACCTCAACATAGATTGCGATGCATGGACGAAATTCCTTAAGTGCCGAGACCATGTCGAACTTGTGAAAGCTGGTTTTTGTAACTCAAAAAAAAAAAAAACGCGCGGTAACAGCGCGCGGTTAGATCTTGACACGAGTATCATGGCATTTGTGCAATATATACTGAAGATAGTACACGACTTTTGATTGTAATCTGTGGAAATATTTTGACTGTTAATCTTTTCGAGTGCTTTAACAACTTCACCAAGTCGGGGGCCGAATATCGTAAAACTCTTAAACGAACTTTCAGGCCATCAGTGCAACAGTGTTGGTCCTTGAGAGATAAAAGAACACAAACATAAACTCAATCTTGATTATCAGCTATTAGACCAAGACTGAAAATGACTTCCTAGCCGACGCTGTGGTACCCTTCCTTAATTAAACTTCTCAAAAAATAACAGTTCATGATATCAGTCTTAGTACCTGTGTACATGCGGCAAAAAATCTCCTCCCAGAGGCCTTTAGTAAAGACGCCGTGACTGGCAGAATGAGACACAAACACAAAAAAAAACAGTTAGATGCTCTCGAATGCACTAGTTAAATAAATTGTATCCATTGTTTTGTCTCAAATTCATCACGGCAGACTTTTCTCTCGCCAAGAAAAAAAATAATTCATCTCTGAAGACACCGCGACTCGCAAATTTAGACAAAACTGAGAAAGGTAAGAGATTTGTTAAACTAGTGAAATGAGTTTTATTCATTCCTTTGTCTCAGATTTTAAGAGGAAGATTTCTTTTCGATGGAATGACGTGCGGAGTCTAAACTGAAGTTTAACAGACTCTGTCTTGTTTTCAAACTGATATTCTCTGAATATCACTCAGACTTCGTATATGAGGTGAAAATTGTATACGTGTATTACAGCAAAAGCCCATAAACTCGCGGACAAAAGAAGTCATAAAGTTGAATATTAAGATCGGCCTGGCTGAAAATGTTAATCGTCTAATATGGAGCATTTCTCTCGGTATACACTGATAACAAACCAAAACCTTGTCCCACTTGAAATTCCCGAAACATTCTAAGGCTCAAATTACAAACCTGGTACAAAGCACGTGAAGGAGGAGATGTGACGACGTCAAAGACTATAACACGTGACACTCCCGTGTTCCTTAACCCTTTAACCCCTGAGAGTGACCAGCATCTAATTTCTCCTTTCAGTATCACCCCTGAATCAAACATTAAGGTCATGAGAATAATGGAAATGATCAACAAGTACAGGAGCTCTTGATTGATAAACAAATTCTCCTTGCCAGCACCTTAGGAAATGTATAGAGAACAGTATGGAGAATATGCTTACTGATGTTAGGGTGTAAAGGGTTAACACAAACTTGTGAGGATGTTCGTTTCTATTTCCTCAATCTTACAATTTGTCATTTTAACTATGAAAATATGTCTGTCTCATAACATTCCTGGTTACAACTGTATCAGCCTATCTATACTCTCTTGTTATGGCCATTTAATGCAATAACTGGCTCATGAAATTTCGAGACAAATGAAAAATATGAAAATTATTTCAAATATTCTCTGCTGGAGCATATGCTCTGATCCATGGAATATTAGCCACTGAAGAAAGGTGAGTATGTGACCATGCTCACTATTCCATTAACACTTGTAATACCGAAGTTCAAGAGCACTCTAATATGTTTGAACTCGAGAGGTGCGTGGATTTACCCCAACTGTCAACTAAGCAATCAGCTAACTTAAGCTACGCCTTCAGACACTCAAAATTCCTCACAGATCAAAAAATCCTGACGATGTATTCTGTTGATTTAAGATGAAGAAAAGTGGTTGGAGATAGAAAAGATTGTAACTGTTGAAAACAAAAAATGGAAAAATAGGGCGGATGCCGGACCAATAAGAATGGCCAGAATGGCTGCTTCTTAAATCTCATCAGAATTTTGAATTAAATTCCTGAGCTTCTTTTTGAGTTATTTTTAGCAGTTAAGTGTGATATCTCAATGACTAAACCTTCGGTTCACCCTAAATCTCCCTGTAATGATTAACAAGTAATTTTCAATATCACTTATAAACTAGAAAATGCTATTTTTCTAATTCCATATTGGAAATGCGTAGTAGCCGGATAAGAGAGTTATTTTTCCGATCGCACGGCTGAATGGCTAAAATCGTTGTATACAGTTAGTAGTTTGAACCCAGAATTACCAGTTGATAATGTGGTCTTAATATTTGGGCGAGAGAAGCCCTGAAAAGGAATGTTGACTGCAAGTGCTGTGACGTAAAAGATTGGAAGTGCTGTAAAGTAGAAGATTGGAAGATTAGAACTAAAATCCGTTCTAAAGGAAGTGGTGCCGAGGCTGAAAAATACTGAGGAAAAAATAATATATTAAAAATAGCCAAATTGCAGGGTAAATGTTTTCTTTGACGTAAACATAAGTATAATTGGAAGCTTGAAAGATTAGTCAAAACTTTTGTACTGAATCTAATATCGGCCACACCCGATATTACACACAAACCAAATAAGGAGATGTTTACTTCGTTATACATGATACATTTGTTTACTCTGATGGATATTTTCTGTTTGAATTTCGTGCAATTTGATATTATCTGATAAAGCCTAAGTATACGTGTTACATGAAGCCTTTTGGACCGAAGTGTTAGAACAGCGATTCATAGATATATTCTCGGTTAACTTTGGATTAAAAAGCTTTGCAGTCTTTAAAACCCTTTAACTCCCAGATCAAATTTGTCATTCTCCTTACTGTCAGCCATACAATTCTTATAATGTTAGTTCAGAGAATTTAGTATTGGATCAACTAATTCAGTAGCCCCAAATTGATATTTTTCTTTATTCTCATCACTCATCTAATTGATGTTGTATTGATATTGTAAGGAGAAATTCTGTCTTGGTCACTCATGGGAGTTAAAGGGTTAACTTAGAGGAAACGGTGTTACTAGGACAAGTAATAGTAATCTTTACATTCTGAGACGACCTTCACAGCCATTGAAATATTTCAGTGCAAGTTATCAACGAAAACAACGAATTATTCCTCGAGTTTTTATTGCCCTCTGGTAAAACAAAAAAGTTGCACAGTGTTTGTTATCGAACGTGATTGAACCTCGTGAATTTCGCAATTCAAGAGCTATTAGAGAGCTTTCGTGTCGGTATCTTATTTTTTTGCTACAACGCAATTTGCGCAAAAATGCGTCTGCTGATGTTGACTGCCACAGCCCCTTTCCCTCTAAAATAGCGCAGATATGCGCTTGTAAACCCTCAGTTTCACCCTTGAAACAATGATCGTTTTTTTAGTCTCGTATTAACATCTCAGGGCCTCTACTATCAATATGGGAAAACTTTTCTGCTCGATATGAAGAGATCTTCAGGAGAGAGAAGACTGGAATGGTGAGCGACGGTGAAGACACCAGTGTTTTGTGCCCTTGAATGCCCAAAAACAAAAAGCAGTTAGAGCCTTAACCTCACCCCCCTTCCGGTTAAAGGTCAGTTCCAACTTTCACTCCAGCCCTCTAAACTTACAACATCTTAAGACAAAAGTAAGTAGTAAGTTAGCCAGCGGTGATCAGCGCAACATTAAAAACAGCTCCTGGGTTATTTTTGCCTCGTAAGCTTGTCAGTGGTTAAGTCATTAAATTTTAGCGCTTTGAATGAGCCTCCTAAGAAGGAACCTTTCATCATGACATGGCTAAGCCGCGCGAAACGAGCCGATTTGCCAATTTTGTCACTAGGAGTTAAATCAATCCCTGAGAAGAAACCTTTTCCTGACATACAAGCAGACGAATGGGCGCGGCGCCACGGGCGGCTTGTATGACAAAGCTCATAGAGACGAGCCGGCTACCTAAGCCCCCCGCCGGCTCGGTTGGCTAACTTTCTCGGCTCCGCCGCTCGATGTTTCAGATAGGACCTAAAACCGCCAAGAACCAAGACTTTGGTTCACTTGGCCACTGGAATGTTTGTCTCTTACTCCTTTACCGCTCGAGCAAATTTTTGCATAACTAATCCATGCCGCTGGAGACAATCCCTAATTTTCATGAGAATGAAATGAAAACAGAAAACAGCTCGTACTTCTACATGTGTACTTTTTTATTGCGAGAGAATCTACTGAAATCAGATTACAGGCTAATGTCCTTCAATTTCAAATTTTTACGCCTTTTTTTGAAGAAAACCTTGCACAAAATCAAACAGTGGTGTGTCGTTTTCTGTCATATTCCACAAACGGTCAATAAGAACAAATAAACGAAAGAGCTTGATAATGCCAAGTCGATTAAACACCAAATTACTTGACTGATTAACATAGAAATAGATAACAGTTAGAAGGGAGAAGAGCGAAACAGATCTTAAGGGGAGAAAGCTGAAGGATCGGAAGGCTTTCAAGCTGTTTAAAATATATATATGTTTGTCACAATTATGAATTCCCTCTGTATTAGCCACAGATCAGTGCCAATATCACGTTACAAACAAACAAAAAATGAATCGCTAAAAGTCATATTATCAATGTGTGTAAAGGGGGTAAGTTTCTAGGGAAACTGTGGTGGTGCGTCAGTGGGAGAGTATAACAGGGTAATTTATTATTATCAACTGAGTTGATAACGTGATTTGGCCACCGTTAAGAGTGTAAAAGCCAACTTTTCGAGCGTTAGCCCTTCGTCAGAGCGACGAAGGGCTAACGCTCGAAACGTCAGCCTTTAAACTCTTTACGGTGACCAATTTACGTTATCAGCTCAGTCAGTAATACTTAATTGCCCTATGAATGTGTGTAGTCAGTTTTGCTCACAACAAAAGACAGAATTCTATTTTTATGAGCATGTATCACAAAGAGACCCGATATCCCTCGGGATCAATGTTATGTGTATCCTCTAGGACCCGCAATCTTTCGTTGAGTTTGGCTTTAGCGGGAATAGCGTCCTTTTTTAGCTTTATTTGAGAGAGTAAATCTGAAACAGAGACAAATTTCATCCATTAAAGGTTATTGATGAGAAGCATCGCTTAAAATTGGCATTTCACGGGATTTGACTCACCGAACAATCGCTATAATCCACGATCAGCCGTTTGAATTTTATCGGCGCGAAATTAATAGCCGAACGCATAGTTATACGCAATGTTACGCCGTTATTCACACTTGTCTCAAATAGAGACGCCTCGAGACAGGGTTAGATTCACTTCTACAATAGTAACTGCGTATGTGCGTGAGAAAGCCGTATGAGTTGCACCGGATTACAATCGCCTTATTTACGACATGCGTTCATAAAAAAAGGCGTCTACTCTGTAGTCATTATTTGGCCTGTTACCTCAAGCTTTGAAGCGTTTCCTTGACCAATTCGAAACACAAATACATGTAGACGCAAACTTACCATGTGTTGAAGTATCGGATTGAAGATAATCGTCGAGAGTTCCCCAATTGTCAATAAATCGCTTAATAAGGAAGTACTGATTCAGTGGAGTTCCCAGGAAGCTTTGCACGCTCTTACTCGAAGGTTTCGTTAAAATTTCCGTCTGATGTATTATCTTGTCGAGCTCTTTCAAGTAATCTTCTTTTTTTGCAACGAATGCATCCAATTCCGGCAGTAAATTCTCTTCGAGTCTTAAAAGTTCACTGAAAGCGTTTTCTTGAACAGGAGGCTGGAAATCCTGCGCCTGCACTGTTTCTTGTAGCCAAAACAATCCTAGGAACAAGGTCATAAAATTTATCATCCTAGTCAAACTTATTGTACGTAACTTAATTTGAAGTAATCGACTCAGACTTCGAGCTACATGTAGTAACTCTCAATATCAACAACTATAGAAATATTTCATCAATAATGTATAACATGTTGCTTGTGTTTTCATTTTTTTCTTGAAAACAACCTGCAGAAGACAAAATTAAGCCTTGACTGGACAGTGATATGTAATCTAGTTTTTTTCTTTCTGGTTCCTCATTGAAAAGTTTAACTTTTGAGTTCAAGGTATCTTTCTCTTGCTGTCAGTGAAAGAAATAAACATGCGAATAGATATATCAGTACGGAAGCAGAAGTGAAGAAGTCCAGAGGTTTAACGAAATTTTAAGGCCTACGGTATCGATGTTTTCTTGAAGAATGTAATTAATTTCAGATAAAATGACTTAAGATAAATATGAATTTTGTGAGCCGATTATCTTGCGGAAAAGGAAAATTAATTCACATTCCTTAACTATAATCTTTTTCCTGGTCACTAATAAATGTTTCAGCATCATCAGGTTATTACGAGAAGACCGAAAATACTCCAAAATACTACCAAACAAGTAGTGGCTAGGGTGGGGTAAGGAGATGTTTGGCCCTGTTTCAGCTCTTCAAGACGAGGCTATTGTACATGCGCTTTACAGACAAAGCACCATGGCGGGGACTTCATGATCAGGAGATGAAGACTGTTTTTTCAACAAAAGCAGCTCTGTTTCACCAGGTATGGACGAATTTACCTTCCAGAAACGTTTGGTCATAAATAATAGTGCGTCCTACGTCTCTTTCTACTTTCTTGTTCCGCTTATGTCCGTGATAAAATGTAGTCTTGTTTATCAATGCACAAGCAATCACTTTGGCCGGTACGCCATACGGTGTATGTCTGGTAAACTTAGTTCGTTTTATGTCAGCTGACCCAAACATTTCATGAAAAATAATGAAGTGCGAATGGTTGCCGGTGATTTCTTTTATAAAATTTGAATTTTCCGATCGCCTTTTGTTTGCAGAAAATATTTGTGTAGTTCATTTGAAATTGCAAGTCGATTCTGTTTTTGTCAGATCAGATCAAGTTGAATCGTGCTGTCGAAAGGATCGATGAATAAGATTTGTTTCACTACATTTGGTTTATTACCCTTTTGAGAGACGTGCTCTCTTTTCTAGTGATGCTGGTAAAGATCAGAAGGAATTATGACGACAAACTTTACCTAGATCATGACGGATACCACTTGTTTGCTCACCGCATGTTTGGGTCGTAGTTTTGAATGTCGAATTTATTGTTACTTTTTTCGACACATACGGTCTTTTGACCTTAAGGACAATACAAAAACCCTGTAACAACTCGTTAGTTAAAATCGGCATTCAAAAAAAAATTTTCTGAAGGATTCCTTCAGTTGGTTTTAGTCGTGTTTACCATGTACAATTTCGATTTTCTTCAGTATGCCATTCTCACTAAACAGTAAATTAATTAATTAAATGAAAAATTAAAAACTGAATTTAGTGATAATTAATTAAGTTCTTCTTGTCTGGTTTTATCAGGAATAGGAATAAACACTTTTAGGAACTTTGTCCAAAAAGATGGCTTCCTTAGCAGGATTTCAGTACACTCCGGAGAACATGCAAAGGCTGGAAAAGGTGACATAAACTTGATCTTTTTTTCAAATGTGAAGTCAAAATTCTAGATAGGTTTTCAAATTTTTTGGCCTGTTTATGGACAAAGACATTGTCATGGTTTGATATCAGTTAATATTAAATTTTAAAAGCAAGCTTCATGAAAAAATTGAATTTACCTGCACCTTTGTCTCTATGACCTTTGACAGACAAAATCTGTTTTATTTTTACTGGTACCTTAATTGATTAAATTAAAGCAACACAAATCTTTCATTCTCAGGCATTGCAAACTATGCAAGATAGAGGAATGGAGTCAGATCCACGCTATGCGCAGTTGATGTCATTGCTTAGAGCAAAACCTACATCTGTTGACATGTCAGATGCTGGCCATGGCCTTCAACTTCCTCCTCCTTCAATGCAGATGGGTATAGGAAATATACCACCAGGGACTGGAATGGGAGGAGACATGCAAACAAGAAGTTCTCCAGCTCCAAATTTGATGTCTCAAGCTTCGCAGAAAGCTCACGGTTTCTCCTCTCCACAGTTGTTACAGCTCAGAGCACAGATCATGGCTTACAAACTCTTAGCTCGTAATCAGCCTCTTCCTGAACACATACGTATTGCCATTCAAGGCAAGTCACCGTCTGTTAAACCAGCAGGGTCAAGTATGCCCAGTAGTACAGTTCCACCTCAGTCAAGTCAGTTACCTTCTAGGACTCAGAATCAACCTGGAAATCAGTCAGCAACTCAAAGTCAGGCAAATATTGGTGCTGGAAGCTCTACAACATCTCCTGCTGGTCCTGTGCCTAATCAGACAGCTTATAATGTCCCTGGAATGACAGCTGGTAGGGTGCTATCTCAATTAAATTAATTGCAATTAATTTTGTTCTTTGACAAAAGGATGAATCTTTGAAATATAAATAAGGTGAGTTTCAATTCCTCATTGGGACTCAAGTTTCCTTAATCATATGCTTGCACCTACTGCAAGAATCTATCTTCTGCCACTAAGCTGAAAATTTATTGCCTTCAATGCTCTGCATCTATTTCTGTTCAGGAGGTCTTTAAGTTTTCTAAGCCTGTAGCATTCTAAAGGACACTTGTCAGACATGAATCTACAGGGATGGGTGTTCATCAGGCATCAGTGATTCATTGTCCTGAGCTGTCTTCTATGTGTTTTGAATTCTCTTGTTACTTCACACTTTCACTTCTTAACCCTTTCACTCCCAAGATCTTATGAGTAATTCTTGTAATATTAGTTTGGAGAATTTGGTATAGGATTAACTAATTATCCCCTAATTGATATTTTTCTTTATTCACATCACTTTTCTGCTTGATTTTTTATTTATATTGTACTGAGAAATTCTGTCTTGGTCACTCGTTGGAGTTTAAGGGTTATTGAAGACCATCTACTCAGCCTAGTACAGGGTCTGGCTTATTCACAGATTCTCTGTTGTGGCTGAGTTGGTTGAGTATCAGAATTGGCTTGAATCGGGTTTGAATCATAATTCACTGAAACTCAACATTAGTTTATGACAATTTTATCTTCTTTAACCAGCTCAACAGCTACAGAGCAAACAGGCGGTAGGAACCAGCCAATCAACAACACCTGCATCATGGGAGGCAGCCAAAGGTGCGGCTGCCAGTGCTATTGCAGCAGCAACTCAGCAGCATAAGCTTAAAGAGCAGCAACGGCAAGCACTTGCACAGCAACAGCAACAGCAGCAGCAACAACAACAGCAGCAGCAGCAGCAGCGCAAGGCACAGACCCCAGGAACATCTCAAGGAGGGATACAGATGCCTAGTAAGCCTCGCTTGGCACCAGTGGCTAAACCTGTTGGACTTGATCCTGTTACTATTCTGAAAGAAAGAGAAAACAGGTATGACTGCTCCCAGCTTTTGTATTAACTGATTTGGAGTTGAAGTTAAAGCCATTAGAGGGTTCAGCCAACTATTTAAGGCATTGACTCTGATGAGGCTCAGATGTTCAGTCAAGATTGACAGTAAAATATGATTGGTAACAAAGCCAGGTTTCTACTTGCATTAACTTACACCCTTTTCCTCGTACATGTAATCTAAAAGAAAACCTAGTGGGTAAAGAATAATACTGATATTACATTACATATATATAGTTTAAGCCCTTTTTCATAGCAAATTCTTTTTATGAATTTTTAGTCCTTAAAAATCACTTCAAAGGGCAACTTGCATCTGTACATGTAATACATACAGCAGGTTTTCACGTCAGTGACACAGAGAGGTACAGATGTACACATCTGCTGTTTTTGTAAAATTTCACATGATTTGATAAGTAGTCATTCTGTACATTTTTTTTTGGGAGGGAAATGATTGTATCTCAGATAATTTTGTTTATTCCTTATGGTGGTTTAGTTTTTTGACCTTACTAATCAATAATTGAGGATGGATTTATCTGATAAATAACTTTCTTTTGCCTCCGTTGTACTGAGTACACTGTGATGAATTTTAATTCACTTTTTTGACAAGAATTGTGCATGTAACTCTTGCACAGGAAGCATGTAAATCGTTTGTAATTTACTAAAGTGTAACCCACAATAATATTTCTTTGTACATCTTCCTTGCATTATTTGTTCAGAATACAGGCCCGTATTGTACAGCGCATCAGGGATCTGGAAGGTCTACCAGGGAGTATTCCTGATGATCTGAGAATGAAAGCAATGATTGAATTGAGAGCACTCAGGCTGCTTAACTTCCAGAAACAGGTTTGCTTACAAGAGTATTGTAATGTTTTGTGGAAAGAAGTGTTGCCGCTAAGTGTTTCACATACATGTAGCCACTAGCTACAGTATGTTAAGATTATAACCACTGTTAAACTAGACTTAAAATAATTTCCTTTATTCTTGTGACATTAATGTTTGATTCATTGGCAATACTATAAGGAGAAACTAGAATCAAGTCACTTTTGGGGTGTGAAGGGTTAACAGAAGGTTTTGACAAATCAATTTTTTTTCTTTGTGATTAGTTAAGAGCAGAAGTTGTGGCCTGCACAAGGAGAGACACTACATTGGAGACAGCTCTTAATTCAAAGGCATACAAACGAAGTAAAAAGCAATCCCTGCGTGAGGCAAGGTATGTTCGATACCTGCAATTTCTATCATCATCTTGGTATTCTTTAACATGACAGGATATAACACAGGAAATACAATGTGTAAGGTTTAGAGCTGAATGATCAGAGATACAAGTACAATTTGTATGTATGACAGGAGGGTATGGATATCAATATGTACACACACACAAAAATAAAAGATATAAATAGGAGGCATTGTTTAAGATGTTTGTAAACTGTCCTCAAGCAATTAAAATAATCTCTATACTGAATTTTTCATGTTTTGAGAATACATTATTATTATTACACATTATTGCAAGACTGACTTTGCTAAATCAATGTTATCTTTGAAACACTACAATTAGTTGTCTATTGTCATGTCCACACTCGGTCTTTATTAGCTTCTGTTAAGAATGTGCAAGTTCTTTCTTTTGATATAACCATGGATCATTCTTTTTGTCCTTCAGGATTACAGAGAAACTTGAAAAGCAGCAGAAGATGGAACAAGAACGCAAACGTAGACAAAAGCATCAGGAGTACCTGAACACAATATTGCAGCATGCCCGTGACTTCAGAGAATATCATCGTTCCATCCAGTCCAAGGTGGTGAAGCTTAACAGAGCTGTGATGAGCTATCACTCCATTACAGACAGAGAGAAGAAGAAGGAAGAGGAGAGGATTGAGAAAGAGAGAATGAGGAGACTTATGGTATGTTTTTGTCTGGTCTGTGTTTAACCCTTTAACTCCCATGAGTGATCAAGACAGAATTTCTCCTTACAATATCAATACAATATCAAGCATAGAAGAGATGAGAATATAGTAAAATATCAATTAGGGGATAATTGGTTGACCCAATACTAAATTCTCTGAACTAACATTATAAGAATTGTATGGCAGACAGTAAGGAGAATTGCTAATGAGATCTTGGGAGTTAAAGGGTTAATGCCAAAATCATTTATATGGAATGTTTGATTTGAAATTACAATGTTATGAGTCTGCTAAAGATGGGTAGTTTCAAAGAAACTTCAGATTGATATGATTTCAAATTAGGTTGAAGTGCTTAAGTTCTTAAGAAATCTTTTTTTCCATATTCAGAGGCAAACTCAGAGCAGTAAAAAGGTTTTTTCATTTGTTTCATTAACACAATTGTACTCACATTCACAAATGGATTTCATGTTGCTGTGCATCAGAAGTAGATCACAATTTTCACCAGTGAATGGTTTAAACCAAAAATTGGCACAGAAGAGGTAGCTGAGAGTGTCACTAATGTTCTTACTACATGACCTCTTCTGTTTTTTATTACTGTACCCAGCTTAAAACTTACTCTCTCTCTTATTTCTATTTACAATCATGATGCTATTGACATTGCTGATCCTAGCAGTATGCAGGATGCGTGTCATATGAACTTTGTAATAGACTTTGCTCACTGTAGAGTCTCTGTGGCTCAATGGTAGAGCATCGGAGCACGGAATCTGATTCCTCACAGGGACTCAGAATTTTTTCTTTGTCCCACGCTTGTGACAAGATGAAAAACATCTTGATTAACCTAGACTCTCTTTGTGTAATATGATAACAAAGCAAACATTTGTTTATGGTGACATCATGTATGCATCCATTCTCCAATACACAGTAGATCATAATTAAGAACCAATCATGATGTGTGTAATTCAGCTCATCATATGAATGATAATGTAAACAGTACATGGTGTTTTGTTGTGACTATAGGCAGAAGATGAAGAAGGCTACAGAAAACTGATTGACCAAAAGAAAGATAAGCGTTTAGCTTATCTCCTGGGACAGACTGATGAGTATGTAGCCAGTCTTACAAAGATGGTACAACAACACAAGAGAGAACAGAGAAAGAAACAGTTGAAAGAAAACAGGAAAAGGAGAAAGTCTGACTATGATGATGATGAGACACCAGAGGGTAACAGGCATGTGCCTGTTGTTGATACAGAGACTGGTTTGGTGCTTAAAGGAGAAGATGCCCCCATAGCTGACAATCTGGACTCGTGGCTGGAAAGTCATCCAGGGTACGCAAGGTTTTCGTTATTAAATGTACATGTAGTAGCTGTGGAAGTAAGAAGAGGATATTCTCTCTGTCTGAATCATGAGTAGCTCATACTGTTGAGGTAGAGAATTTTCCAATCTCTAATCTCAAGCAAAAGGTTCATTATTGTTGCAAATAGTTTAGTCTGGCAGGTATGTCACCATTGTGGTCTTTGATGGATATGTTGCACTACATGGATATCTTCTTGTCCCAAAGAAAAAACATGAAGTTGTGGAGAGCTGTTAAATGCTGACAGTCTAACCATCAATTATGAAGAATTGTAAATCTCATGTCCAGTTTCTCTTTTGTTATTTACCAGGTATCAAGTGGCTCCTCGTCAGGAACAGGAATCTGATGATGAAGAAGAAGAAGAGGGATCAGTTGAGGATGCTGAAGGTGATGACGAGGTTGAAAAAGAAGCAGATGAGAAGAAAACCGAGAAAGAAAAGAAGAGAGAAGAATATGGCAAAGATGAAGAAGATGTTGTGGAAGAGTAAGTATTAAGTATAGAGTTTTAATGAGAGTGATGATAAATAAATTATACTGATTGCCTCTCTGCACTTTGTTGTATATTTTTTGGCCTAAAGACAATGCTGTCTTGGAGATTAATTTGATTCTTTCAGAATTTATATTGTTTTTTGTAAGATCTGTACCCTTCACCATAGATTTCTGTTGCCCACAGAGCTGATGATCCAACTGTTCTGGAAAGCCGTCAGTATTATCAAATTGCACATAGCTTTCAGGAGGATATCACTGAGCAGCCAACTATTCTTATCGGTGGAAAACTCAAAGAATATCAGGTATCTTTTTTTTTTTTATATAAAATATTATCCAATACCATAAAATCATAGGTGTAACACTCCTTCAATTGCTTTGATTCAGTTGTGTTACAGGCTGTGTATGTGTAGCCAAAGTCAACCACTTTATCCTTAGTTGTACCTGCTTATCCTCCTAAGTATTTAACATGCATTTTTATTTCGATGTTCGTTCTGAGAACTCAATGTTTATTAGGTGTCTTGCCTTTGTTTCCTGTAATATATATGGCCAGATTATAATTTATAAAGGAAAAAAATGATAATGAAAATTACTTTTAACCCTAAACATGTTTTATATACTGTAGGCTAGTAGGGCTGAGTAAATCAATGATTTCCAAATAATTCAAATAAAACATGCTCTTTAACCTTTTACACCCTCACATCATTATGCATACTCTTCACACTGTTCTTTATACATTTCCTAAGGCGCTGACAAGGAGAATTTGTTTGCTAGTCAAAAGGTTCCTTCCCTGCTGACTATCTCCTTTATTCTCATGACCTTTATGTGTGATTCAGGAGTGATATTGTAGGGAGAAATTAGATGCTATTCACTCTAAGGGTTTGAAGGGTTAACATACAATCACTTGGAGTGCACATGTACTCTGTACTTAATGGAGTTCAAATGTTATAATGTCACTGCATTACTTTGTATACAGGAAAATAAAATTTACAGCTCAAATTGTTCTGGGCTTATCTGATGCTTATAAATATTGCCTTCTTTTCAGATGCGAGGTCTTGAATGGCTGGTCTCATTGCACAACAATGCTTTGAATGGTATCCTTGCAGATGAGATGGGTCTTGGAAAGACTATTCAGACAATTGCCTTGTTTGCCTACCTTATTGAAGTCAAAAAGCTCAATGGACCATTCCTTGTTATTGTTCCTCTTTCGTAAGTACAGTGTTTGCTGCAGAATCTTGTGAAGTGTTTTTCTTTTGTTTTATTTTTACTGATCACTCCTGATTTGTGTGATCTACAGGACACTCTCAAACTGGTTGTTGGAATTTGAGAAATGGACACCTTCAATTATTGTCGTAAGCTACAAGGTGAGACAAGATTTCCCAAAAAGTTCTGGTTACCCAACTGTTGGTCCTGTCTGGAGCTTGAACCCTCAAACTCGTGCATGGCAGTCCAGTGCTCCTCAACCTGAGTGATCCGGGTGGCTAATCATTCAGATAATGTTTTCTTGCAGGGTTCACCCAACATGCGTCGTTCAGCTGCTTCTCAAATCAGAGGAGGAAAGTTCAATGTTGTACTTACTACTTATGAGTATGTGATGAAAGACAAGTCAGTCCTCTCAAAGGTAGGCTACATTCTGCTGAGAGTTAAGATTTGGGTTATTTTTCTCTTAGTCAAAAGTATTGACCAAAAGTTTCTGAAATTTTGGGAATTTATTTTGAGCCTATCTATTTATCCTGTGAGTAATTAGTTTTTTTGTGTGTGTGTGTGTGTGCGTGTGTGTGCGTGTGTGTGTGTGCGTGTGCGTGTGCGTGTGCGTGTGCGTGTGTGTGTGTGTGTGTGTGGTATGTAATGAAAGAAAGGAGTTATTTTGTGTTTTATGTGAAGAAAAGAAGATTTACTTTAAAGTAACCTCAGATGCTCTTATTGCTAAGATATCTTGGCAAATCAAATTTACTCAAAATTATTTTGTTCAAAATAAGGTGCGCTGGCGATATATGGTGGTGGATGAGGGCCACAGAATGAAGAATCATCACTGTAAATTGACACAGATCCTAAACACACATTATGCTGCACCTCACAGAGTGCTGTTAACTGGGACTCCCTTACAGGTCTGTTTCTTTGTTTTTACAAGGTTAAGCCACATTTTACCCATGGCTGTAGCAATGCTGTCCATCAGCAAGTTTTTTTCCTGACCATTACCTTTGCTTACTTCTAAGTGCAGGCCACTCATACAAATGATATTATAGGACTGGCTTGATGTTTCTATTTTTTAATACCTAGACATTTGAACTCTGTCAAATATGGTGATAGTAAGTCCTATCTTCTATACTGCACACTTTTTAAGACCTGTCAGGAAACTAACGTGTATGTCAGGTGTCGGAGGTGTGCAACACTAAACCAGGATTTCGCTAACACCATTAAAGATCAATTCTTGATGAGTGGGGTTTGATAGTAGAACCTGGAACACCACTGTACATAAATAACAAGTATTACTGACAATTACACAGACACTAATATATAGATTTAGCCAAGCCTAAAAGCAGAGCTTGCAATTTTTTTTTCCCCACTCGTCTCAAGGGCACAACACCTTGCCCCATCCAGGACTAGAACGTGGGTCGTCCAACTCAGAGCCTAGTGCATTGGCCACTTGACTACTGAACAAAGCCATGGCATTGGTGTGCCCATGGTACAGTTGACCACACATGTGTACAGTCGTACAGTTGTACATCCAAATTTTTTTGGCTTGATGGGTTACTACTATTTTGTACAATTATGGGGCTAAACTCTGCAAGCTCTGCTTTTAAATTTAATGACAGTCCTGGTTTTCTTTGATTTTTATTGTTTGTTTTGTTTTTCTGAATTTCTCTGGTTTTTTTGTTTTCTTAAACTTTAGAATCGTCTGCCAGAGCTGTGGGCACTATTGAACTTCTTGCTTCCAACAATCTTCAAGTCTTGCAGCACTTTTGAACAATGGTTCAATGCACCTTTTGCAATGACTGGTGAAAAGGTAAATACATGTACATTATCAATAGTAATTCTCAAACTTTCTTCTTGTTGTCCATTCTATTGGAACCCATCATTTGTATTTACATGTATTTGAATACATTGCTTTAATTTCCACCTTTGTGTATTTTGTGGATGTAGGTTGAACTTAATGGTGAAGAAACCCTTTTGATTATTCGCCGTTTGCATAAGGTGAGTTGTTAACTTGGTAATGTAAAATCAACCATCCTTTAAAAAGGATTTCTTTAAGAAATGTAATAATGATTATTTTCCACATTCAAATGAGGTTCAAAATCTGGACAAAGAATTCTCGTCCTTAATGCAATGAACACCCTCTTAAAACCTTTTTGTGAGAGACATACTTGTAGAAATAGTGTTTCCTCAAAGTCAAACAACCAACTTTCAATTTGTTTTCAAAAGGTTTTGAGGCCATTCTTGTTGCGTCGTCTCAAGAAGGAAGTAGAATCACAGCTACCAGAAAAGGTATGTTCATGTAAATGGCACCAACAAAAAAACAAAAAAACCAAAAAAAAAAAAGGAAAAAAGATTTGAAACATCTTTTGTTTGATGGTCTAGCATTCAACACAAGAGGACTGGAAAGACTTCCTACTTGTTCATTTTAGCTTTTACACTCCCAGAAATGACTGAGAAGGAATTTCATTTTACAGATTTGATACATTGTCTGATGCAGAAACTTGATGAGCAGAAATGGAAGTATCAACAGAGAATATTTGTTTGATTTATATGTAGCATCAATTCTCAAGCTAAAATGACAAGAAAATTGTAGCAGATAGTGGGAAGAATTTATGTAGAGATCTTGGTGGCAAAAGCATTCAGCAATCCAAGATATTTTTTGTCCATTTGTAAAAAAAAAGTGTTGGAATCAAAACTTTCCTTGCCTAACATACATGTAACATTTTTTGTCCCCATAACAAGGTGGAATATGTTGTCAAATGTGACATGTCATCACTTCAGCGTATTCTTTATAACCATATGCACAAGGCAGGAGTACTGTTAACGGATGGATCAGAGAAGGACAAAAAGGTCTGTGTATTCACTGTTGTGTTACATATGTTATTTGGGGAGAACTGCTGCACTTAGGCCTTACTTAGTAAAGTGGATTTATGAGGATGGACAGGAAAAATTAAATACACACTGAACTACTCAATCTTTAAATCCACATAACATGTACATGTAGTTTTGTCTACAAAAACCTTGTCAGTTGGTATTAAATGACCAAGTGGTCGTAGATAGAACTAGTGTGTAAGTTATGGATCACACAGTTAAGTATGTAAGAAGCAAAGAAATAAGTCATAATTTATATTTATGAAGTGATGTTTTGTTTCCTAAAAGTTAAGAGCAACTTTATTCAAAATACATTAGCACACTGTTTCAACCATGAAAGAACAACATGTCATTCATGTTCTTGAATCATTGGTGTACAAAGTGTGCTACATTATTCAAATCCAGGGCTACACTGAATTCTCGAGCATTAAAAAGCACTTTGAGTGGGTTTGGTGGTAGAACCTGGAATATTTTCTTTCTGGAATATCTCATTATCATCGTAAAGCTTACATACATGTATTGAAATGTGAAGCCTTGCTGACATGGATGTTTTTGTTCATGTAATCATGATAGGGCCGAGGAGGAACCAAGACTCTGATGAACACTATCATGCAGCTAAGAAAGATTTGTAATCACCCTTTCCTCTTTCAGCATATTGAGGTAAGCATGCGTCTGATACACCAGTACTTTGTTTTTACTCAAATTTAGCTCTGAATCAATTCTTTAACCCTTATCACCCTAACATCAGTATTGATTTTCCCCAGACTCTTCTTTATACATTTTCAATCAAAGCTTCTTAAGTGATAATCTCCTTTATTCTCTTGATCCTTAATGCATGATTCAGCTGTATTTCTGTAAGGAGAAATAAGATGCTGGTCACTCTTAGTTTCAACTCAGTTGCAAGTTTCTCTCCTCTAGTTCTGGGGCAACACCTGTTTACTTTGTCTTCATGTCTCCTTGAATTTCTTTCTTAAATTGATTTTTGCTTTTGCAGGAATCCATGGCAGAACATCTTGGCTTTCCAAGTGGAATTGTTCAAGGGTGATTATTTCTTGAGCAATTTTCCTTCTATATTCAGTTCCTTCCACTTTATACTGTAAACGGAATATATAGTTGACAATGTTTTGCTAAAGTTGTCCCTCTGTTCTAACAGCCCTGATGTTGTAAGAGTGTCTGGCAAGTTTGATCTTCTGGACAGAATTTTGCCAAAGCTCAAAAGGAAAAACCACAGGTATATGTCTTTTGTAGTTTTCTTCTATCAAGGGGTTAACATACAATATACACATGGCATGATCTACATGTTATGGCTTTTTCCTGCAAAAAAACAAAACAAAACAGCAAACATGCCCTACCTCTAGCTCTTTCCCTTTATTAATTCCTAGCTCTTTCCCTTTATTAATTGCACGTTTTTGCCCTCAAATTTCAGCTAAGTATCAGACAGCATTGATGCTGGACTTGTATGATGTACAGTTGTACTTCATGTCTAAAACACAATTTACTTTAAAACTACAGATTTGAAATTTTTGTAAATATTAGCTTGGTAGGCCATGTATGGGTTAAGAAGAGGCTTCTTCCATAGTTTTATGTGACCATTTTCTTCACATATTGCAATTTATTTTTGTGTCAAAAAGGCTTAGAAGTCTTAATATCAATTTTGTTGATTTATATGTCACTTACACTTGTGTCTATTGCTCCCTTGTAGGGTGTTGTTGTTTTCACAAATGACCCAGCTGATGACAATTCTTGAGGATTATTTCAATTGGAAAGGTACATGTACCTGTTGCTGAATGGTATAGTGGAAACTGATGCTAGTCTGTTATAGAAAAAGTCAGAACTTAATTAAAAAGACCCACAAGATTCCTTCTCCACCAATTTCCTCTGAACGTCGATACATTGCTTAGCAGAAAAGCAACGAGAAGAAAGAAAAATATTGACGATGGAGACACAGCTGTACAGCTGTAGTTTGATTTGTTACAAGATTTAGAGTTAAATTTTTGAGTATTGTATGGTAGACCTTGCAGAGATTGGCCTTGTATATTATGTTCAACGTTTTTCTCTAAATTTTCTTAACTTGTTAAGGATTCCCTTACCTCCGCTTGGACGGTACAACTAAAAGTGAGGACAGAGGTCAGCTGCTGTCCCTGTTTAATGCCAAGGACTCACCTTACTTCATTTTCTTGCTGAGTACACGGGCAGGAGGACTGGGGCTGAACTTGCAAGCTGCTGACACAGTGGTGATTTTTGACAGTGACTGGAACCCACACCAGGTTTGTTGCTGCTAAAATCACCCTTAAAATAGAATTTAAAGTTACTGTGGTTTTTTTCAGACCTAGTTATTTTAGTGCGTAATTGAATGGTTTGCGACAAGCCTGCTGAACAGGGATAAACTTTGCATTTTCAGTTGAGCGGATGTAACTGCAAGGGAGGGGGGAGGAAACACGCTTGAGAGGAGGAGCCCCGTGCGTCAATTTTGTGTGTTTTATCTCTCATGCATGGCTTGCCCTTCGCGTTCGCCTCGCGGTCTCTTCGCGTCGTCTTGCGTTAGCCTAAAATGCTGTCTTATATTCGCAGAAATGCTGTCTTATATTCTGTCACTGAACTACCAACTTGAGTTGGGTAAGGTAACGAATCCGGATTCGTTACCTTGCCCCTTGAGTCACATATATTTACAAGGACAATCTGGTGGAAGGATTACGAAAATAAACTAACGCTAAACGCTTCGCGACAAAACCACGTAATGTCACCAACATCGGAATCCTTCCTTTATTATAAATCTAACACAGCATTCAAAGTTAACAAAGGGTAAAACAGAAGACCACTTCATACGTATTTCGCGCGCGTTTTTTTTAGTGCGTTTGAAAAAATTGCACACGTGTGCGCTTTTTTTTTAACGCGCTTTTTGCGTGCATTTAGGGACAAGTACCTCTGAGCTGTACTGTAGATTACAATGGACTATCATTGGATTTTTTTTTTTTAACAAATCTGGCCAATCTTTTTATTCGCCTCTCTGCCGTCAAGAAGTCGTAATGAATATATTTGAACTTTCCGACTATTTTCTTGTTCTAGGATCTCCAAGCTCAGGATCGTGCTCATCGTATTGGCCAGAAGAACGAAGTTCGTGTTCTGAGGCTCATGACAGTGAACAGTGTTGAAGAGAAGATCCTTGCTGCAGCAAGATATAAGCTTAATGTTGATGAAAAGGTCAGTTTTAAATCAACACATCATTTTACACTCAACTGAGTTCACTGCAGGTCAGTTGGCGGGGCAGTGAACAATAAAATTGGACCTGGCTGCTTTTGGAATCCTCAGATATTTCTTTTTCCCATGCACGAAGAAAATATTCAGAAAACATCTTTCTTTTGGCATGATTCTATTATTTAAAATTAACCTATAGAGTAACATCAGGAATGGAATGGATATTGAATTGCTTCTTGTGTTTTTGTTGTTGTTTTTTTTTGCATAGGTTATTCAAGCTGGCATGTTTAATCAGAACTCCACATCAAGTGAACGAAGAGCTTTTCTGATGGCCATTCTCGACACAGAGAATGACGAGGATGAGGTAATGTACCCATTCTGCATGTTCATGCTTTGCAGAAAGAATTGCCTTGAAGTGGAATTGGCTTTGTTTGCCAAGTTTTATAGAGTAGCGGCAGTAGAAAATTGCCGAATTCAGCGAGCATTTTTTAAAAATAATTATGAATTTGTGAAAGTAGCAACACAATGCAACAAAGCAAGTTTGGAATTGAATTCACATAAACTTTTATTTTTGTTTCTTAGACTTCATTGGTAGGCAACCAAATCAGCGGGCTGCAAAGACAAACAGAAGTATGAGAAGCTCCACAAAAACTAATTATATTTTGGTAGTCTGCCCAGAATTCAAACATGGCTAGCCGATATTTTCAGTGTTAGCTTTACCTGTGATGGCCTTCTGAAACAATTGTGGCAACCATGAACGTCTCTTGCAGTCAAAAGCAATCAGCCCCCCTTCCCCCATCCCTTTACAAACAAACCAAAGTTCAGAATCGTTAATTTTATTTGAAATTGTAGGAGGAAAGTGAGGTGCCTGATGATGAAACCATCAATCAAATGATTGCTAGGACAGAAGAAGAGTTTGAGTTGTATCAGGTAGGATCAGTTTGTTTTACACTTCATGATTGACTAAAGCAGAATTTCTCCTTACAATATCAATAAAATACCAAGAAAACAAGAGGTGAGAATAAAGAGAAGTAACAATTGGTGTATAAATACTTGATCCAATACCAAATTCTCAGAACTCACATCATAGGAATTGTTTCGCAGACAGTAAGAAGAATCCGTTATGAGATATTGGGAGTGAAAACGTTGACAACATGGGTGTTTATTTTTATCTTTTTTTCTGTTTCTATCTTACAGCGTATGGACATGGAAAGGCGAAGACAGGAAGTTAGAGTGAGTAACTTTTATTGTTTATTATCTAGGTCCTGATTTTGCAGGAGAATAAAGAATGACTTAGAAGGGCTCACTTTTTATCATAATGAATAAATAAATAAATAGATAGATAAAAAGAGTTAAGATCTCTTTTGAAGAAGATGGCATTCGTTACGTGGAGCAGTTTGTAACAATAAAAATGAACAATAGCAAGGAAGGGGATACACTGTTTATGTCTCCATACGCAGCCCAACAGCATTGAAGTACAGAGATTAAATGATGAGTCTGCCAAGTCTCTGTGTGAGCTCTAGCCAGCGTCTCACATTTTGTGTAATTAGGAAAGACACTCTGCCCTCAATGACAGTATAGACTCCATCATGTATGGACCACCCTCGATCCCCTAACGCTGGGACTACCCTAGTCGTCTCCTTTGCAGTTGTTGTTTTGTCTCGTCTCGCAACACGTGACGAGATCAAACGCCAGCTGCGGAGTTAACCACCTTTTTTTTTTTTTCCCCTCCCCTCCCCTCTCTCCCGCAGTAGCAGTGTTAACTTTCACCCAACCACAAGCTTTCTGAGTTATCCAAAATGTAACTCAGCCTCTATTTGTTTTGATCGTCTCATCAGGAAGCAGGTTCACTTCGTCGTCGCCCTCGACTGATGCAAACGAATGAGCTGCCTCGCTGGATTGTCAAAGATGACGCTGAGGTGAGAGCTTAGTAGAAACATGTTATGAATTCTTTGATACGTCATTGAGCGCTTTTTGATTGAGTGACGTAAGCCAAGCCAAAGCAATGACAACGGCCAATCAGAACTCACAGTAAAAACAAATAAACTGTGGAAAGCGCGGGAAAACGCAGGGGACCAAGTCACAATTGGTTTCAGTTTTGCATCTGATTGGTCAAGAGAATGGCGAGAGTGGTCTGGACCAGTCACAGCCCGAAGTAAAGCAAAGACCAATGCAATCCCGGATTACTTTTGACGCTCAATTAAAAATTGCTCGATGAGATAATTCATTGTGTCGAGTTAATCGTACTGAAGTTCTCTTACATTATGAACGTGAAATCTGAAGTAATTTTTGTAATATCCCTCAGCGCACTGCTAGAACCTGGCAGAAGTTCTCCATGCATGTCAGGCGTACGATGTGTGCGATAGTAACCCAAGGTCTCACTGACACCAACAGAAAACCAAAATTCGATGATTGGTGTTTGACAACAATAGACCCTGGTACACAAAATATAATTTTCACAGAAATAGATTTTTAACCGTTATTATAGAGGTGTCTTTGATTGTATAAGGATAATGGAAATTTGTAACATTGGTACATGAACCTACTTTTTCTGTTGAACAGGTGGAACGCTTGACTTGGGAGGAAGAAAGCGAGAAGATTTTTGGACGTGGGTCACGTGTCCGTAAAGATGTTGTTTACTGTGAGCATCTGACAGAAAGACAATGGCTGAAGGTATTCAAAGCATAAAAAAGAATCAATAGATACTGGGAGAGGTTCCACGGGGTAGGGGGGCGGGTAACATGCAAATACAATGGACTAACATCTCATTTAGGGAGGAGTAGCAAACCTCTTGGTGGCCTGATGCCACAGAAACTGGTATGAGATCCGGTGGTGCGAGCCAAAGGTTTTATGGCCGACTACTTGGCTTAAAACAGGATGCAATTATTTATTGTTTGATTTGTTTGATTGTAGGCCATAGAAGACGGAAGGCTGGATGAGGTGGAAGAAAAACAAAAAGTGAAGAAGTTATCCAAGAAACGAAAACATGATCCTGGGGAAGAAGGAGACGTGCCAAAGGTAAGAATATTGAACGTAGAGCTTCATGATGTAAGTTTCTAAAGAAACTGTGGTACTGCGTCGATGAGAGAGTGTAATAGGGTAATTGAGTATTATCAACTGAGTTGATAACGTAAATTGGCCACCGTAAAGAGTTTCAAAGCTGACGTTTCGAGCGTTAGCCCTTCGTCAGAACGAATAGCGAAGGGCTAACACTCGAACATCAACTCAGTTGATAATACTCAATTGCCCTTTCCTGACATGTTAGAATCCTTTTGTCTTTTTCACTGAACTTAATCATAATTTGAACAGGTTCTTGGTTTGCTGTTGGACTGGATAATTGCCAGATACTGAATTTGTGCTTTTCACAAAACTAGCGTAGGTTCATCAGATGATATTTCTTAAACTTGTTCAAATCTGATCAGAATTTTACAAAGTTAATACGGTTTTATTCGTCTTCTCTAGATAAAGAAGAAACGAGGACGCCCACCAGCTGGTATGATAATAACTTTTCCCGACTTCTATCACTTTTGGTGCCCTGCAACTTACGATTGTGTTCTCTTTACAGTTAAACTTGCACCCAATCCCCCGGAGCTAACAAAACAGATGAAGAAACTGATGAAGTACATTGTGAGATATGTGGATGAGTAAGTATGAGATAATATGATGCTCAGTTAACAGGATCGAATACTGAAAGTTCTGCTTATTAACGCTTTACACCCTACCCATGTTCCCCGTTCTGTTCTCTATGTATTTTCTAAGATGTTGATTGGAAGAAATTGTGTAACAATCAAGAGTTTCTTTAGTTGGTGATCTTATCCTTTATTCTCATGATCTAAACGTTTGATTTAAGGTGTGATATTGTAAGGAGAAACTAGTTGCTTATCACTCTTGAATTTTCTTGGTCATTCTCAGTTCCACTTCTCGCAACCTGGCTGAAATATTCATGGTTCTACCAACGCGCAAAGAACTCCCAGACTACTATCAGATAATTAAGCAGCCTGTGGACATCAGAAAGATTCGGGTAAGATTCTTTCAGTGTTTTAATTGCACTGGTTTAACAGACCATTTCAGAGATTTCGATAGCGTCAGTCTCAAAATGAGGTTAAGGTCAAAGCCACTGATGTAAAAAAAGGTTTCGGATTTTTTTTCTCTTCCTCATGGACTCGTTTTAGCAAAAACAGCTTTGCACTTGCCCTCCATTTTGACACTGAGTTTTCGGAACTGAAAGATGGGGTTTTTCCAGTTTTTGGGCAAACAGACTGGACTTTTTAAGGAGGAACTTACCATTTCGTTCTGTTTTGAACCTCCAGAGGAAATTCGTTTGATGAAGAGAACTTCTCTACTACCAAAAAAAAATTTTCTTTTGGTAGTACCACGTGCTAATGCTTTCTTTTTTATTTATTTGTTCTTTTTTAGGAGAGAATCAACTCGCACAAGTATCGCACCTTAGATGACCTGGAAGAAGATTTCTCTCTCATGTGCAAGAATGCTCAGACGTATAACATAGAGGGCTCTATTGTATGTTTTAGCTATTGATTACTTATACAAATTTATTTCGTCTTGACTGAGATGCTAGACATATCACAACCGACTCAGTAGCTTGCGAGCAGGTCCTCATTAGGCGCGTCTCTCCGCACTCGGGAAGATTTGAGAAGAGTCGGGTAGGGATTTGTTGGGAGTCTGGCACTAATAACTCATAATCAGTGTCAGACCCCTTGCAGACCTCTATCTTGCCCGAATGGTAAAGGCCGAAGAAACGCTTGTGTCGAAACGCTAATGAGGGCTACCGACTGACTAGCTATTCACGTAGTGGGGATAGTAATGGTAACGATATTTCTTGTTGTTCTTTCGATTTCAGATCTATGAAGATTCCATAAAGCTGCAGGTATGTCACGACGCCTTTAATTTTCAAGTAGAAGTGTATCTGTTTTCTGTTGTCTCGAATGCTTAACAATTGGTTCATGCGTCAGCGTGCGTTCATCGAGATATAAAGCACTTGGGAAGTTTTGAGAGCACGAAAGATGCGTAAGAGTTGCTCGAGGCTAGCCTCGAGCAACTCTAGCTTCTTGAGTGCTCTCCAAACTTCCCAAGTGCTTCATATCTTGATGAACACACAGCTGACGTATGAACCAACTGTTTTATAACATTTTCAACCCGATGGAAAATTTTTTTCTGGAGGGATTTGTTTGCTGACGTCATGAGCATGCACAATAGGAATATGAAGCACGCTCGCGCAATTGAATTTGATTAGACAAATTTACTAGCTATGTTATAAAAGCCATTGAAAAGTACTTTCTTTTCCCGTTCAAAATTATATTTCATAAACGAAGGCCTGTTTGCGAGGAGTAGCAAGATTTTTAAAGAAATCAGCAATGTGACTAAACATTCATTTTCTTTTTTCAAGCTTGTGAATTCCCTTTTCCCGCCACAGTTTGCGCAGAAAATGCGAAACCAGATATTAAATTTAAACATCGAAAGATTCCTTCATGAAAGTAGCAAGTCCTAGCGTGTAATATATTTTTCTTTTTAGTCTATTTTCACGCATGCTCGACAAAAGATACAGGGTGGTGAGGACTTACAGCTGGCGCATTCATCTGCTGCGGAACCGGAAGTGGAAAGTGAGAAAGAAGCAAGTGAAGGAGAGGAAGATGACGATGTTAATGATTCGGTAAGAAAAACAGCATTTAAAGAGGATGGGAAGGGCTTTTGCTAGATTTGGGCGGAATATGGAATTTTAGGATGCGGCAAAGCTGATAAAGTGCTAACATATTCGCAGATACTAATGCCATGTGTCTCTGTGTCCTTGCGGACTGTCTAAAATCTAACCGCCCGAACAAACATTTAGCTGTATCTCTGCAAACAACCAGGACTTCGCCACGCGCGTTTTCCCGCGCTTGACGTGTGTTCCCCTGTATTTCGTGAATTCCTATTGGCTCCATTCTGATATCCATTTTCGTTGACATTGGCTGTTGCGACTCATTTGATTTGGTTCTGCGACACTCCACTGGAAAGCCTCTACCAAGCTAATAAATGTGAGTGTTCTCCCCTAAGTTCCCTTGCCGGTAAACACATAAAAAGAAAATCCAACATTTGACTTGAATTTGCGATTTCAAGATGCCAAGTTTCTTTTTAATTCATTTCATCGTCGTGGCTTTCTGAATACTAGTGTTGTAACCTAACTTATTCTGTTATTTTTTTATTTTTGGCTTTGTAGTGTTCTCTCCTAATTTTTGTGATTTTTGTTCCTGTTTCAGGATGGTGACGAGGCAGAGTCTGTTGGTTCAGACATTGAAGGTCAAAATCTAAATTCTCCTAGCGCTTTCTAATACTTATCCCTTTAATTTTTTAGTGAGAAAGGTTTTTTCAATCAAATAATCATTTCTCTGTCCATGGTCACTGCATGGTATTTAAACTACGGATAAGCATTGGGTGTTATGGGTCACATGGCCTCAAAGACTTCACCTACCCCTCCCTTCTTTACAAATGTTTTTGTATGGTCTTTTTAGGTGGAAACAGCCAATCTTCTTTGAAGATGCGCATTAAACTTGGCAAGCAGTCGGTGGAAAAAGCCAAGGTTGATCTCAGTGGCGTTGTAAGTTAGGATTTGTTTTGCTCAATTCCTGTTGTAAGGTGAAATCTCTTGAATTCTATTAAGAGTGCAAGAGGCCTGTCTTGCAATCTTGAAACTTTCTCCTCTCTCACGATCTTTTAGCCTTTTGTTTCGCAATCTAGCCTCCGCGAATGGGAAATTTTTTATCGAGAAAACAGACAGTGTTCTGAAATGACCCCTTTTCGTGTTTCATTTAACTTTTTCAGAAGAAAAAGCGCCGAGGGCGTCCACCTCGAATTAATCCACCTCCAAATCGACAGGAACCGAGTGACAACGAACTTGAGTCGTACCCACCTTCGGAGAAAGGCTATAGCAGTGAAGGAGTGAGTGAAATGTTTTTTGCTCCGTTTTGATCAGATACCTCTCTCAAGTATTTCATTTTTAGTCCTTATGTAGTCGTCCAATTCTTAACTCTCTACGTTCCTTTTGGGTATACTCCTATTTGCTTTCTGTTCATCCTCCCTAGCTGAATATCAGTTTTAGAAATGTACTTCTCTTACTTAAAATACCATTAGGCAAGTCAGGTGATACGAAATTGTCCTCAACACTCGAAATAATTTCCCGGTCTGCGCCGGTCAAGTTGTCTGGTCAAACCTATTTTTGCTCAACACGACTCAGTTGCAAATTCTCGTCTTTCCCCATTCCCTTTGTAAAAAAAGTACATTTACCACGCTTTCCTTGTACCTGTAGGATACGCACTGTCTCCCTTACGTCTATGTCCATTTTAGCTCAAAGACTTGGATGTTAAATCAAGTAATATCTATTAGTTGATTTTTTTTCTTTTTCCTGTCACCCTCGTGCTTGAAAGTGTATCGTATATCCATTGGGTAACTTACGTTGTAACATTACCTTTTAACCCTCGACACCTTAATAGTGATAAGCATCTCATTTCTCCTTGCTGTATCACCCCTGAATCACACATTAAGGTTACGAGAATAAAGAAAATGATCACTAAACTAAGAATTTCTTAATTGTTAAACAAATTCTCCTCGTCAGCACCTTAGGAAATGTATAGAAAACAGTATGGAGAATATACATACTGATTTTAGGGTGTAAAGGGTTAACAGGTGCGTGAAATTTAACATTGCTCTCTTCCTCAACAGGAGGGTTCTGATCGCGAAGACTACCCTGGCTCGTCACAAGAGATGGCTGCTTCTCCTTCACAGAAGAAACGTTCATAAAAACAAACTTTCCTGACTAATGTCTCTGATTATTAATTTCTTTATTTTGGCTCGAAGTGGATTCTAACGTATGGAGTTATTCTAGGGAGAACTCTACTTATAGAAGGCTTTGTAGTGGTAGACAGTATTAGCCGTAAAGAAACTAAAGGGAATTCAGCCACAAGATCACCAAAAGACCCTATATCTAACATTCCCTTGTCTGGTGGACTTGAGTTCTGTTTCACTAATATTAAATGAACTTGTATTTAGCTCTTGTAAAAGACAGAGGTTAATTGAGGAAACAAACACTGGTTTTGTTTGGTGTCATAAGGACATCCTTGCGAAGTGTTTTATTAACATATCCAACTTCCATCGAAGTGTTAAGCAAATGAGGGTTTACCTGTTGCTGAACGCTTGTAGCACCAATCCTTTTGCAAGTATTTGTCAGGGAATATCCAATGTTTTTCATTTATTTTTTTCGTTTGTTGCTTATAATCCTCTGTGATTAGTTACCTTATGGGCACAAATCTCTCCTTTTTAAGTGAAGTTTATTTTGTGTGTTCGTGTCGCATCACCGACATGGGCTATCTAAGGTTAAGTCCATCATTGTCAGGGTCATGTTTTGTTGTATTTCCTATCACAACTCTCGCGTTCCTTAGTTTTAATAGTTTTTTCCTTGGATGTAGTTATGTAGTGTTATTGTAAATATTTAATTCACTGACGAAACGTTTGGGGCGCCTTGAAAGCTTATTGTAAACACGTGCCTTGGTTCAACTATTTCTCTTTAGTACACCGATTTTGTCTATATGTCATGGTTTGTAGTGAAGAACCGGAAATTATAATGACAGGGGTCTACTAAATTAAATAAATGTTAAGATAACTTCCATATGCTATTAATGCTAGATTAATTTTCAAGCGCCTTCCTTTGAGAAATGAATCGCGAGGTGTCTGAGGCACGGTTCGTCAATCGACTTTTCCACGTCCTCAAGTTTCAGAGCAGAATTTTGTAATCGGTTTCCGGACTTTGAAGGGAAAATCACGGAGGGCAGCCCAATTTAGATGAGGTCAATTATCATCTCGGTTCGGACTTGCCCAGATTACGAGTACGCTGCACACAGGAATTAACTTATATCCTGTTAGTAACGCACTTGTGAGAGAGGATACGGCTAGCGAATCTAAAGGAATTTTTATGCTTTGAAGGATTAAGGTTTCATGTTACCTCCTGTTGTACCACTCTTTTCCCACCCTTTGGGTTTTCAATTCTGGGGGTAACTAGCAAATACTTAACAGCGTTTATTACCAGCTTGTTGAGAAGGAACCAGGAGCGCTGAGAAGGTTTTTCTTATACCCCATTCACACCAGCAAAACATGTTTTGTTAAACTGGTTTTCATTGAATGAAAATTATAAACAGAGAACTGAAAAACTTGATTTTCCATAGGATTCAAGTACTTGCTAACTTGCATTTCCAATGTGCTACATTCAAGTAAAAAATATTCGGTTAAATAGTTTCTATGAAGAAAAAAAAAATTAAACTGTGTTTAACAAAACAACTTTTAAACATGTTTAAGCTTTGGTGTGAATGGGGCATTAGTTATGAACAAATTACTCCAATCCTCGATATATCGTACCGCCTCCTACGTGAGGGTTTTCCCAAAGAGGTCTGGCCCTAATCCTCGCTTTGACGCTTGGTCACCAGCAGGAAGTCAGGCATGCCCGTATTCAGTGTCTATTTTGATTGCAACAATATCCGGTCAACAATCATACTTAAAACGTTGATCTGCACGGAATATTGTGTTTTTTCTGCCCAGCAGGTTCAACCGATGCAACCGAAATGAAAGCAGGAATTTTCAAAGCTGCAAGTTTTGTTCGTTTTCTTGTCGCGGTCGTGATTCTGGCAATGATTTTGGTGGTAACACCTTGCCGAGGTCAACAAAGATGTTCTCCGTTGACTATTCCTTTCTGTCAGGGTTTATCGTACAATAGCACAATACTGAATCCCACGATGCAGCAACGAGTGTCTCGCGAACTCTCTCGATTTTCACCTTTGATGAAGATTGCTTGTTCGGATGATTTAACTTTTTTTCTTTGTTCCATGTTCGCACCGATTTGCACGCTGTCACAGACTCCTATTCTACCGTGCCGCTCGCTTTGCAACAGTGTTAGACGCGATTGTGAGGACCCTTTGAAGACCATAGGCTTCACGTGGCCGGAGCCTCTCAATTGCGATAACTTTCCAGACCGAAATGGTAAGGGCTTCTGTGTTGTTATACCAGATAAAACCACCCCTCAGCCGCCAGTAACGGAGAGAGCCAAGGGTGAGTTTTCATTTGTTCAGTTTTAACTTCCTCGCGTTAATTGAGGATTTACCAAGAAACGGTTTTAAGTATTATGGCATGTAGCACAATTACATTAGTCAGGAGCCGAACGCAAATAACTTTTAGGGTTGAGTGTGATATGGTTGTTAGATAGTGTTACTTGCGTGACATAAGATATTGCTAAACCAGTTGTCAAAGCTAAATTCAACAAACGTTTTTGGAACATGAAGAGATTAAATGACACACTACCCGCAAGCTGAGGATCTTGAAGGCATTAAAAAAACATTAATCTGTGTTTATTCTATCTACGTATTGGTATTGGTTCCGTATGTGCTCATCAGAAGACGTCAAAAGTTCTTTGTTCGTCGCCAATCCTCACTCTAAGTTGCTGTAATTTGAACTTAATCAAAACAAATTTTCCGTATGTTTAGCGCCATGGTCCTCTCTTATTTGCAATGCAAAACAAGCCGTGGTTATTTTGGGTTCGTCATACGATCGTGCTCTGTCTTCGCACGATTCACAGTGACTTAGATTAGAAGCAACTGTTTGTAGTCCAGCATTTGCCAATCCAATGTGCTACACGGCCTAAAAACTAGGACTCCAGGAAGTTCCTTGTGTTTCAGCTCGCAAATGACCACAAAATTACTGACTAGAAGAGAACAGACTGAAAATCGATTTACCTTGAGTTGGGACTCGTTAATTAGTTTTTCAGCATATTGCAGATTGGCTCAACGAGTGGATTTTATTGACTAATTTACTAATCAAAACTATAAAAAAAATTATTGGACGTAATTAGTTATTACCAGCCCAACTTGAGCACTAATAGGACATTTTGCTCGTTATACCTGTGTAAGTGTCATGTGCGTGCGCATTTCGCCGAGCTATCTGTAGTCTTTTTTATTATTATTCAAAGATATAATCGATGGCGGGTTTCTTTTTAAAATTTTGTCATAATTTTGATTTAAAATTAGTAACAGCACCTCCTGTCGTCCAATTCTGTCTCCAACCGTACTCGGTTTACAGCCCAAACTAGGCTCCACTCAGTCTTATTACCATCGCGAATTAACTGATTTAATAATTACTTGATACACTGATTGATTGATCCTTTGGTTCCCTGAAAGATTTTGTAACTTTCTGTGTCAGATACACCTGAGTTCCTCCTCGTCGCGAACCGTAAGGATATCCTTCGTGTTGAGCTTAACCCAGTTGCACACAAGACACTGGTCTCACGTCAGATGGCAGCTGTAGCCATCGATTTCGACTTTGACACGGGATTTATTTTCTGGACTGACGTAGTCAAAGGCAATATCCAGCGCGCACCGGTTAATAACGGCGAGAATACGGAGGTGCTGATAGATGGTCTTGTATCACCCGAGGGACTGGCTGTCGATTGGATGAACAAGAAGCTGTATTGGACCGACACAGGGACAGATGAAATTGAAGTAGCGGGTTTCGATGGTGGCCATAGAATGGTTCTGATTGATACAGGACTAAAAAACCCAAGGGCGATTGTTGTACACTCCAGTGCTGGGTAAGCGTAGTGTTTGATTCCTTAATCTTTCACACCCTAACATCAGTATGCATATTCTCCATACTGTTCTCTATACATTTCCTATGGTAACGACAAGGAGAATTTGTTTAACAAGCAACAGTTATTCTTGTGACGTTAATGTTGAATTTTTTGATGGTATTTTAGGGGGGAATTAGATGCTGGTCACGCGTAGTGGTCAAAGTGTCAAGAGTGTTCTACTCTCCCAGTCGTTGTGTAAATATTTCAAGGAATTTTTTCGTTCGGACAAATTACCCTTAACTTAAAATTTTAGTTCGTTAAGATGGAAAAAAAATGAAAATAGGAGGAACATGGATGTTTAAAGACGGATTGGACTAGCAGGGATTGCAAATGGCAAATATGAAAATTTTAAGAATAAAGGGGGTAAGTTTCTGAGATAATTTGTTTTTAATCAAATGTGTTGATAAAGTCAATTAGCCACCGTGGATAGATTCTAAAGGTGACATTTCCGAGCGTTAGACGCCATGTAATTTGCGAGCTGTAATTTCAGGAAATGTTTTCAATACACAGAAACCTAGATGTGTATTCTCAAATGTCAATAGTCTCTTTACCTAATACACTCGTCCTTCGAAGGACGAAACGCCCAGGGGAACTAACCCTCGGGGTGGGGAGGGGGTGGGTTGAAATGGATCAGTTGCTTAGGGTAGGAGGTACTTGACGCCCACCAAAACCTTTTTGTAAACCTTTTTGGCCTTCAAGTACGACAAGCATGTAGCCTTGCTCAAAGTTATTGATTTTTTTTTTAGTTACATGTTCTGGTCTGATTGGGGAAAAACAGCCAAAATTGAAAAATGCAGCATGGATGGAGAGAGTACGTCACGGAAAATTCTCGTCAGTCAGAATATCATTTGGCCAAATGGACTAACAATCGACTACAGTGAGGATAGAATTTGGTGGACTGATGCACGATTCGGCACGATTGAGTCCGTGGATTTAAACGGTGGAGATCGGAAAGTCGCTTTGCGAAGCAGCCGTGCTCGGTACACCTTCGGTATTTCACTATTTCAAGACTCTATCTTTGTAGCCAAGCGACAAGGAGGGCGTAAGATACTTAAAGTCGACAAGTCTGGGGGCAAAAGATCGGTGACCCTGCTACGATATCTATACGGACCGCGGGGAATTGTGGTATATCATCCTTCAAGGCAGCCGGGAACAGGTCAGAATTGTGTTTTGTCGATGTGTTTAAATATGACCGAGTGACTTCTTGTACAGACATTTGCACGTTACACAGTGTGTTTTTTAAGTCATTTTTTACGTTTTCTTTTCCATTTGTTGGCATTATTTTGGTCTTCTTTGGTCCATTAAATTGGTTTATTCAGTCAGTCATTCATTCATTCACCTACCCAAGCAATCCTCATTTCATCCATTAGCCACGATGAGCAAGACACACTTTCTTTTTACAATATCAATACAATATGAAGCAGACAAGTGACGAGAATAAAGAAAAATATCAAGTAGGGGCAGAGTCAATGGGCTCTTAGTTAAGGATTATAAATTAGTTGATCCAATACCAAATTCTCCGAATCAACACGATAAGAATTGTATGGCAGAGAGTAGGGAGAAATACTAGTGAGATCTTGAGAGTCGAAGGGTTAAGGTATTTACGCGTTTATTAAGTAATCCTCTTGATCTTTCATGTTCTTTGGACTGTTTGTCGCTCTGTTGTTCTAACCGCTCTCTCAGCTCTCTTTTTCAATTTTTAGTTATCATAATGTTGTTTGTTTGGTTCCTTCAGTGTTAATCGTGCTGATCCAAGCGTACTTCTTTCTGTGTGACTTTGAAGCCCATTTAACAGCTTACAGGTGTGTTTTCTTTGCATAGGCAATAATCCATGCAGTGACTCTGTGGTTTCCGGAGGTTGCAGTCACATCTGTTTACTAGCTCCAAAAGATCTCGATCCAAAAGGTTATTCTTGTCACTGTCCCCCTGGATTGATGATGCTTCAAGATGAAAAGACCTGCATGTCCTCAGGTAATAATAAATAATCAGCTATAGGTGATTCAACGCCGTAGGCCTCAATGTGTTAATAGAAGACACAAGAAGCTGGTCCTTCCAGCAGCAGCACGAACTCTAGCGCTGTGTTGTGTCTTATTCAGGGGGGCTATAAGAAATTTTAAGAATTGTTGGGGACGGGTGGGGGGGACGGGTGGTGGCCACATACCCCTGCATCTTATAGTTTTAAGGTGTGACAATCTCTTACAAGGAATCTTAAAATATAACAAAAATATCATTTTTAACTTTTTTTCTTAGATGCTTTAAAGTGCAAGGAAGGAATGTGTCTCAATGGAGGCACTTGTATCGAGAAAGCAAGGGCACTTCCCGTATGTAGGTGAGAGAGATGTTTTAAGTGTTAAGGGGCCGATATTTCAGCAGATTATTGACTTATTGAAACAAAGACTGGCACGATCCATTATTGAATAAGCTCATCTGCTCAGGAAATACTCAAGCATTCTTTGAAATATTGAAAAATTAAACACTGTGCATCAGAAACAATTTAAGGTTTTGGTATTTATAGTAAGTAATCAATACTATTCTAGACAGGTTTCCGCACACTTTATAACCTCTGAGATTACTTCGGTTATCACATCGCTCATTTCCACTATCAGACGCAGTTAATGATGAGAACAAGGAAAAACTTCCAAGGGGATAGGTTCTCAGATGTACTTGTTAGAAGTAATCCCAAATTTTAGAATAGAAGAATTTTCAGTTGAGCGTCACGGTTAACACGGTAATGCTTTGATTTTGCTTTAAATCACATCGTGATTAATCCAAAAAACTCCCGCCACCCTCTCAGCCAATCAGATTTAATCTAATGCCGTTAGCGACGTGGTCACTTCACTTTTCCCGCGCTATGAGCATTTTCTTGCTTTTATTTTGAGTCCTGATTGGTTCCCTGAGATAATAACCTTTACTCTGGTTGGCTGTTGTGATAACTTCGATTAATCTTTCAGCGAAATGTTTTCTATGGAACACAGTTAAACGCAGGGTAAACAGAAATAAGGAACAAACTGTTATTCTCCACAGTTGCCCTTCTGATTATAAGGGACCCAGATGTCAAGAAATCAGCCCGGTGCACATCTCCACCACAATTTCTCCCTCAACGAAACAGGACAGCTGTGAGCCGTTAACGATACCTCTTTGTCGCTCTTTGCCTTATAATACTACAATATTTCCCAACTTTTTGAATCACACAACACAAGACGAGGCCGCTCTTTATGTCCACCAGTTTTATCCTTTGGTACAATACGGCTGCTCGGAGCATTTAGGACTCTTCCTCTGTGCTGTTTACGCGCCAGTTTGTACAGTGTTAGGTTCTGCAGTCCCGCCCTGTCGTTCCCTTTGTAATAGTGCAAGACTTGGCTGTGAAGATGTGATGAAACGTTTCGGTGTTAAATGGCCAGAGAGTTTAAACTGCGAACGATTTCCTGAATTAGGTTCTGAAATCTGCGTTGGACTCAATGAAACCTTAGAACCCACCTCCCAGCCGCCAACTGGTGAGAAATGTAAGTATTGTTTTACATGTCTTATTGTTGCTCAAAGTTTTGTCTTTGTGCATTCTTCTAAGTCCTTGTTTTAAAGCCTCATTGATCTTTTTGGAAGGAAAAGAAAATCGAGAACACCAAGAAAGTAGACTTATATCTGAGGAATGTTTGCCAAACAATGTTCTTATTTTCACATGAGATTTTTTTGGCATTGTTAGGGTAACAACCTTCTTTATTCCCTCTCTTCTCGTTTCCTCTCTCCAAGGAGGAAGTGAAAGAGAACTCGAGAGAGAGGTGACTATATGGCTCCCTGCTCCTAACCGAGATTTACTGGTATCCAGCCCTTAATTAGGAGTTCATCGGTTCAGATCATGAATTCAGTTATTTCCTGTGCTTCATGACATTCCTTTTACATAATTACATCTGGTATTTGTCCTCAGCTTCCAATGGGTCTTGTCTGGCCAGTCAGTTCCTATGTAAGGCTACAGAAGAGTGTATTGACTACGCTCTTCTATGTGATGGTAACGATGATTGTGGAGACAACTCAGATGAAGATATCTGTGATAATTCCACCGTTGTTTCACATTGTGGAAGCAACGAGTTTAAATGCCGTGAAACGGGAGAATGTTTGAAAAACTTTCTTGTTTGTGACGGCTCCTATGACTGTGATGACAAATCAGACGAAGAAGGCTGCAATAGCACTGTTCCGTGTAGATCCGATGAGTTTAAATGCCGTGAGTCCGGAGCATGTATTAGAAAACGTGCTGTTTGTGATGGATTGCTGGATTGTATCGACAAATCAGACGAAGAAGGATGTGACAATGAAACCTCATGTGTCGGTAAGCTTTTTCGATGCAATTCAACCAGAAGATGCATTGATGAAAAATGGGTTTGTGATGGCCATGCAGATTGTGATGATATGTTAGATGAATTAGTATGCCCTACGACTGAATTCTGCAGACCCCTATTTCTGTGTCAGTCGGGTCCTCGTCGTTGTATTCCCTATCACTGGCTGTGTGATGGATCTAACGACTGTGGAGACAACTCTGATGAACAGTATTGCAGTTGGTCAGTTTGTCCAAACAACCAGGTTTATTGTAAACGGCTCGGGATGTGTTTGCCAAGCCGATGGAAATGTGATGGTCAACGAGACTGCCCTGACAACTCGGATGAAGCAGACTGTCCAAATCTTCCTAAATGCGGCGACAGTGAGTTCCAATGCGTTGATAAGTCTTGTGTGCAAATAAGTTCGGTTTGTGACGGGAAAGTTGACTGTATAGACAAATCGGACGAAAAACTCTGCAATTACACTCGAGCATGTACAAGCAATCAGTTCCAATGTCATAGCACCGGAGTTTGTATCAACAAAGTCTTTGTATGTGATGGTAGTAATGACTGTGGAGACAAATCTGATGAAGAAAAGTGTAACACCACCACGCCTTGCAGTATTACCGACCAGTTTCAGTGTGGAACTACTGGAAGATGCATCAAGAAGGATCTTGTTTGCGATGGTTATGATGATTGTGGAGACAACTCGGATGAAGAAAAGTGTAACAGCACTCTACAAGGCAGCTGCGAGCCATTGACGATGCCCATTTGTCGAAATTATATGCCGTACAATACTACGATATTTCCAAACTTGTTAAGTCACAGAACCCAAGACGAGGCAGCGAAGGATCTCTTCCAGTTTTATCCTTTGATGAAGAAATATTGCTCGTCACATATTGAGTTTTTCTTTTGCACTGTTTACGCTCCAATTTGTACTATATCTAAAACGGCAGTTCCTCCATGCCGTTCTCTTTGTGATAGTGCTAAAGTGAGCTGTGAAAGATCTTTGAAAGAGTTTGGCTTCAAATGGCCCGAGGTTGTATCCTGTGAGAGATTTCCACGAATAGGAGAGAAGGAATGCATTGGAGTTAATCCAACAGCACCCGTAAGCTCACCGACGGCGTTACTAGAGACCTGTAAGTACAACACTTGAATGATCTTAGAACGAATAGCAATTTGCAATTGAGTGTCGATAGGTATTTGGGATAGCTTTGGGTTTGCTTTAGCACCAGACATTTTTATTGGTTTAAGAAATCACTCCCGCATCTCAAGCAATTAGATATTGTACTAATACCAATCACGACTTGTTTACTCCTGTTTTCCCGCGCTTCAGGACATTTCCTTATTTTACTGTGAGTTCACATTGGTTTATAATGACAATATTGTTTTTGCGACACTCAAGAGCAAAGCGTTTCATCCTTCAAAGGTATTTTACTGTATTTCTTTATTCTTTAAATAGCTTTTTTGTTTATTATTCAAACTTAGTTCATGCTACAAAATGTAGAAGTAATTTCATGGTTTAACGCCTTTTTACGACGGTTAATTCCTTCTCCCTTTCCCAACATGTTATGTACTTTGAACGTAGCAACCATCGTAACCAAAGCTTATAGGAAAGACACATAGAATGAGATTTGGGCTGATGTCAACTCAGTCACAATTTTGAGGATTCTGAACCAAGGAGGTTCCTTTTTTATCGTTTTTTGACAGATGCTTTGATGTGCACTAAAGAAAGTTGTGTTCGTGGAGGTACCTGTCTTGAAGGTTTCAATCCATTGCCCTTCTGTAGGTGGGTAAATAAATCGTGTTTATTCAATCAATAGGTTAACCGGCCCCATACACACCCTACATCAGTATGCAAGTTCTCCTTACTGTTCTCCTAACACATCCTATGATTGTGACAAGGAGAATTTTTCTAAAAATCAAGAGTGTCATGAGTTGACTACAATTTCTTTTATTCTTATCACCTTTATGTTTGATAAAAGAGAAAGTCACTTCTCGATGAGGATTTTATGGAAACGGAACATCAATAATAACCTTTTAAGCTTAGCCTTTAAGGCATTAGCGAGTGACCGAGAGAACGACATTTTTCACGGAAACATAGGCGATTTCTTATACCAACCTCTAAAATATCAAGTCCAACGAAACTTCCGTTAGCAAGCAGTGAGAATTATCGGTTTGATCTTTTCACTAAACGTAGTAGTTGAGAGAGCCATTTATTCTCTGTCCGCAGTTGCAGATGCGAAGAAATCGTCAAGACGCTTCCGCCAGTGCACATGTCCACCACAATTTCTCCTGCAACGAAACAGGACAGCTGTGAGCCCTTAACGATACCCCTTTGCCGATTTATGTCTTATAATACTACAATATTTCCCAACTTTTTGAATCACACAACACAAGGCGAAGCCGCTGTTGGTGTTTACCAGTTGTATCCTTTGGTAACAGTCGGCTGCTCGGAGCATATAAGTTTGTTCCTCTGTGCTGTTTACGCGCCAGTTTGTACAGTGTTAGGTTCTGCAGTCCCGCCCTGTCGTCCCCTTTGTAATAGTGCAAGACTCGGCTGTGAGGGTCTGATGAAACGTTTCGGTTTCGAATGGCCAGAGAGTTTGAAGTGCGAACGATTTCCTGAATTAGGTTCTGAAATCTGCGTTGGACTCAATGAAACCTTGGAACCCACCTCCCAGCCATCAATTGGTGAGAAATGTAAGTATTGTTTAGCATGTCGTATGGTTGCTGAAAGTTTTGTCTTTGTGCATTCTTCTAAGTCCTTGTTTTAAAGCCTCTTTAATCTTTCGGGAAGGAAAAGAAAGTCGAAAATAGGAAGAAAGTAGACTTATTTCCGAGGAATTTCCGCTTATCAATTTTTTAATGTTCATATGAGATTCTGTTGGCATTGCTGGGGTAACAACCTTCTTTATTCCCGCTCTTCTCTTTTTATCTCTCCAAGGGGGGAGTGAAAGAGAACTCGAGAGAGAGGTGACTTTATGGCTCCCTGCTACTTAACTCGACACGAGATTTACTGCTATCCAACCCTTGATTAGGTGTTTATGGATTCAGATCATGAATTCAGTTATTTTCCTGTGTTTCATGACATTCCTTTTACATAATTACATCTGGTATTTGTCCTCAGCTTCCAATGGGTCTTGTCTGGCCAGCCAGTTCCTGTGTAAGGCTACAGAAGAGTGTATTGACTACGTTCTTCTTTGTGATGGTAACGATGATTGTGGAGACAACTCAGATGAAGATATCTGTGGTAATTCCACCGTTATTTCACATTGTGGAGGCAACGAGTTTAAATGCCGTGAAACGGGAGAATGTTTGAAAAACTTTCTTGTTTGTGACGGCTCTTACGACTGTGATGACAAATCAGACGAAGAAGGCTGCAATAGCACTGTTCCGTGTGGATCTGATGAGTTTAAATGCCGTGAGTCTGGAGCATGTATTAGAAAACGTGCTGTTTGTGATGGATTGCTGGATTGTATCGACAAATCAGACGAAGAAGGATGTGACAATGAAACCTCATGTGTCGGTAAGATTTTTCGATGCAGATCAACGAAAAGATGCATCAATGAAAAGTGGGTTTGTGATGGCCATGCAGACTGTGATGATATGTCAGATGAACTAGTGTGCCCTACGACTGAATTCTGCAGACCCCGATTTTTGTGTCAGTCGGGTCCTCGTCGTTGTATTCCCGATCACTGGCTGTGTGATGGATCCAACGACTGTGGAGACAACTCTGATGAACAGTATTGCAGTTGGCCAGTCTGTCCAAACAACCAGGTTTATTGTAAACGGCTCGGGATGTGTTTGCCAAGCCGATGGAAATGTGATGGTCAACGAGACTGCCCTGACAACTCGGATGAAGCAGACTGTCCAAATCTTCCTAAATGCGGCGACAGTGAGTTCCAATGCGTTGATAAGTCTTGTGTGCAAATAAGTTCAGTTTGTGACGGGAAAGTTGACTGTATAGACAAATCGGACGAGAAACGCTGCAATTACACTCAGACATGTACAAGCAATCAGTTCCAATGTCATGGCACTGGAGTGTGTATCAGCAAAGTCTTTGTATGTGATGGTAGTAATGACTGTGGAGACAAGTCCGATGAAGAAAAGTGTAACACCACCACACTTTGCAGTATTACCGACCAGTTTCAGTGTGGAACCACTCGAAGATGCATCAAGAAGGGTCGTGTTTGTGATGGTTATGATGATTGTGGAGACAACTCGGATGAAGAAAAGTGTAACATCACTCTACAAGGCAGCTGCGAGCCGTTGACGATGCCCATTTGTCGAAATTATATGCCGTACAATACTACGATATTTCCAAACTTGTTAAGTCACAGAACCCAAGACGAGGCAGCGATGGATCTCTTCCAGTTTTATCCTTTGATGAAGAAATATTGCTCGCCACATATTGAGTTTTTCTTTTGCACTGTTTACGCACCAATTTGTACTATGTCTAAAACGGCAGTTCCTCCATGCCTTTCTCTTTGTGATAGTGCTAAAGTGAGCTGTGAAAGGTCTTTGAAAGAGTTTGGCTTCAAATGGCCCGAAGTTGTATCCTGCGAGAGATTTCCACGAATAGGAGAGAAGGAATGCATTGGAGTTAATCCAACAGCACCCGTAAGCTCACCGGCGGCGTCACTTGAGACTTGTAAGTATAACACTTGAATGATCTTGGAGCGGAGAGAAATTTTCAATTGAGTGTCTAAAGTAATTTGGAATAGCGTTTGGGTTTGCTTTAGCACCAAACATTGTAATTGGGCTACGAAAACCAACTCTCGCATCCTAAGCAAGTAGATATTGTACTAAAACCAATCCCCACTTGTTCTCTCTGATTGCCCGTGCTTCAGGTCATTTCCTTACTATCTTATGAGTTTCCATTGGCTTGTAATGACATTTTAAGTTGTGTTTTTGCGACACTCAATAATAGAGCGTTCCATTGTCAAAGATATTTTACTATATTTCTTTACTTTTCATGTAGATTGTTTTTGGTATTCAAACGTCGTGCGCAGTACAAAATGTAGAAGGAACACATGCTTGCAAGCCTTTTTACGGCTGTCATTTCCTTCCCCCTTTCCCAACATGTCATGCGCTTTTAACTTACCGACTATCGTAACAATAGATTAACACTCAGAATAAAAGTTAGGCTCCCTACATCTATGGAAACATGTATACCATCTGAGACATTGGCGCAACATCCTTAAAATAGGGTTCATCCACTTTAGGTACAATGCTTCCCTCGATTTCTTGATCAGAAATACCGTGACAAAGTAATAATGCTATATTACACATGGGAACAAGTCCAGTCTTTGCTATCATGATACTGACTTCCGATTGATTACTTCCTTACCACCCAAAGTAAGAAATAAAGTCTTGCTTGATCATGGCTTGCACTATAACGTAACAAAACCCTAGAGGGGAGATCTGATGCCACTCAGTCGCCATTGCAAAGATTCTGAATTGAGAGGTTTTTTATCGCTTTTCCACAGATGCTTTGATGTGCACTAAAGAAAGTTGTGTTCGTGGAGGTACCTGTATCGAAGGTTTTCAGTCATTTCCTTCATGTAGGTAAGTGAATAAATTGCGTTTATTCCGTCCTAATAAGCCTCTAAACCTGGACATCAGTACCAAAGTTTTCCATATTGTTCCCTACACATTCCTGTGGTTCTTACAAGGAAAATTTGTCTAACAGTCAAGCGCAACTTGACTTGGCTACAATTTCCTTTGTTCTCATGTCCTTTAAGTTTGATTCAAGGGTGCCATTGTTAAAATAAATTAAAACTTCTCTCACTCAGGGGTTAATGGTTTAGGAACATTTATTTCAACTGCTTTTAATTTTCTGAAGCGAAGATTACATTATCTCCGACCAAACTTGTCTCCGGTCCTCGTAGCGATTACTGCAACTTATGTAATAAAAGAGAAAGGAACCTTTTTTGATGGGATTTTATGGAAGCGGAACCTGACTTAAAACCTTGTTTAGCTCAGCCTTACACATCAGCGAGTGATCATGAGAACGAAATTTTCCAAGGATAGATTTCTGATACCAAATTCTCGAATATGAAGTACAAGAAAGCTTGCGTCGGCCAGTAACGAGAGTTATCTTTTTGGTCTTTTCACTGAAAGAGGTAGTTGAGAGAGCCATTTCTTATCTGTTCGCAGTTGCAGATGCGAAAAAATCATGAAGACGCTTCCACCAGTGCACATGTCCACCACAATTTCTCCCTCAACGAAACAGGACAGTTGTGAGCCGTTAACGATACCTCTTTGTCGATCTATGCCTTATAATACTACAATATTTCCCAACTTTTTGAACATCACAACACAAGAAGAAGCCGCTCCTTATGTCCACCAGTTTTATCCTTTGGTAAAATCTGGCTGCTCGAAGCATTTAGGGCTCTTCCTCTGTGCTGTTTACGCGCCAGTTTGTTCAGTATTAGGTTCTGCAGTCCCGCCCTGTCGTCCCCTTTGTAATAGTGCAAGACTTGGCTGTGAAGATCTGTTGAACCGTTTTGGTGTTAAATGGCCAGAGAGTTTGAACTGCGAACGATTCCCTCTAGAAGGTGTAAGTGACTGCTTTGGAGTGAATGGATCGAGGGGACTCACCTCTCTGCCGCCAACAAGTGAGTTAAAAAAACAAAACTGAAAGATCTTATCATCATGAGTATTATCAAACATACTTTGCTACCTTCGAAATATATAAGTTTATTCTTTGTGTGCCGTTCTAAATTCTGAAATTTCATTAGCTTCCCAGAGTGTGTTCATGGCCCAAAGTGACTGATACCTACAATAGTGACTTGAGGTCCCCTTTTCATCCTGAGCGTAAACTTTAATGAATATTCAATTTAGTTACACCGCTTACCATTTCGACAATAAGTAGTATTTTCACTTTTGTTTTTCTGTTCTTGCTGCGTTCAAAAATTTTTCTCACATCATAACAGAACACATAATTCAAAACTGAAATCGGCTAGAACGCTTACGGAGTATCTCGACAGCAATTGGCAGGTCTTGGGTTTATTCCTAATCATCAAGTTCGTTCTTTGTCCCAGCTACGATACACAGGATTCGTGCGGTATTCTACGAACAAACTCATACAATTGTTATTTTTCTTCAGTGTCTAGTCGCTCCTGTCTTACCAGTCAGTTCCAATGTACCATCACAGAAGAGTGCATTGACAAAAGTCTTGTTTGCGATGGTAAGGATGACTGTGGTGATGACTCAGACGAAGACAGCTGTGGTGCCGAATGTGACAGCAGTGAATTTCAATGCGATGATAGATCCTGTGTCCTGATAAGTGTTGTTTGTGACGGCAAAACTGACTGTGTGGACAAATCGGACGAGAAACACTGTAATTACACTCAAACATGTACAAGCAATCAGTTCCAATGTCGTAACACTGGGGTATGCATCAACGAAATCTTTGTATGTGATGGTAGTAATGATTGTGGAGACATGTCGGATGAAGAGAAGTGTAACACCACCACACCCTGTAACACTGCCGACCAATTTCAGTGTGGAGCCACTGGAAGCTGTATCGCGAAGTATGTCGTTTGTGATGGTAATGATGATTGCGGAGACAACTCGGATGAAGTCGACTGTGAAGATGATCGTCTTTGTGATGCTGATGAGTTTGAATGCAATGCAACAGGACGATGTATCCCTGCAAAATGGGTATGTGATGGAGTCAATCATTGCTCTGACAGCTCAGATGAGGCAAAATGCGACAATATTGAGTGTGGCGAGGAAAGATTTCGATGTAAGTCCAGACCAGGAGTCTGCATCTTAACCACATGGATCTGTGATGGGCAGGATGACTGTGGAGATAACTCTGATGAAGTGAACTGTCCCTTACCTGAATGCAATAGGGGAGAGTTCCTTTGCAAGCCTTCCAAGTTGTGTATGCCTGTTAGATGGAAGTGTGATGGTGAATCTGACTGTTCAGACAATTCAGATGAAGCAGACTGTCCTGAATTTTCGTGTCCCAGTGGACACTTTAGATGCAACAGTTCAGGAGGGTGCATTCCAGAAAGATGGGTTTGCGATTTAGATAAAGATTGCAAGGATGAATCAGATGAAGTTAACTGTGCTAAGACTACGTGTGAACCTTCGCAATTTTCATGCGAAACATCTGGAAAGTGTCTACCAAAGGGATGGGTTTGTGATGGCCAAGACGATTGTTCTGATCGATCGGATGAAAAGAACTGCACCCGAAATAAATGTGGAGATGAGGAATTTTTATGCAAAGCCACAGGTACTTGTATCCCAGAGAAACAACGCTGCAATGGTTTAAATGAATGTCAGGATAACTCTGATGAATTGGACTGTACCTTGCCTGTTTGCAAAGAGGATCGATTTCTTTGCGGTTCCAGGGGTTGTGTGCCTAACGCATGGAAGTGCGATGGTGATTCTGACTGCCCAGGCAACTCGGACGAAGTCAACTGTTCTAGAGTTGCTGAACAATGTCGCAAAAATGAATTGCAGTGTAAGGATGGTTCGTGCATTCACAGCATCTGGGTTTGTGATGGCGAGCAAGATTGTGAAGACAATTCAGATGAGCTTAACTGCACTTCTCCAACTAAATGCGACGGGAATGAATGCGGTGAGTTGTAACAGAAGGATTGTAGTCTTCCTGTTGTAGCTAAAGGAGAGCTAAAGCTCTACCTTTATGGCAAATACGAAAGGCTAAATTTGATCAAATGTTTGTCTTTATTCTTGAATAAATATTACGTCTTTAATGTTGTCGTTATTTTAGGTCACACTTTGTGCGTAAAAAATCAGTTCATCTGTGAGAATGGAAGGTGCATAGATGTGCAAGAAAGGTGTGACGGAAAATCTGATTGCTCTGATGGTTCTGATGAGGCAGATTGTGGTACGTTATTCTCAAATTGTTATTGTGTGATACGCGAGACACCATCAGTAAGTTCCATCTTTTGTTACATGGTCTTAATTAGACAGAACCTCAGTGGCAGCCCTTGGGTCCTTCCCTGTATAGGGCACGGTGCGGGTGGTGTTGTGGACCAGATGCAACCATGGTGCACGATCGTGCTCCGCGTTTTACGTGTCCTAGATAGTACACAAAGGGCCAGGGATGAGCTCATTCTCGTGTTGGTAATATGTCAAGCGAGAGGAATTACGAAACATTCCACAGTGCAGCCTGTCATTGTAAAGTGACCTGAATTGGCCTTCACGTTTTACCGAAACTCTAAAGAACATGACGTATTAGTCAGATGCTCATTTTCTTACTATGTATTACGTTGTTTAAAATCAAAGTGCTCAAACGAAACCTTTCCAATTAATTGATTGGTTGAGTCTAAGGGTTCAAGGACAATGGCAATCACCTTGTGCTAATGAATGATTTAGTCTCTAGCTTCCGCAAGTGATAAGTCATTCCTGTGTTTTTGATTTCCAGACGGGGAAATCTGCCAAATCCGAGGAAACTGCAGTCAAAGTTGCTCAGTTGACAGAGATGTTTACATCTGCAAATGCTCCGAGGGATACGAGTTAACACCAAACAACAAAACCTGCCGAGCTCTAGGTGAGAAATGACCGGCCTATGCGTCACTTCTCTGTGTAGTTCTCAGGCATTGAGAAGCAGACGACTGAGATGAGTTATGAACATAAGGATCAATTTCAGCTTCTGAGCAATTACACACCTACCCCTCACCTAACCCAACAGTAGTCAACTGATAACAAGTTACGATTAAAGTTGGGTTAAGGGAGGGGTAGGTGCGCAGTTGCTCAAATATTGACATTGATCTGAACGTTACAGGACATGGTCTTATGAAAACAGTATGGGAAAACAGCGAGAGAAAGAGAAAGAGAGAGAGAGAGAGAGAGAGAGAGAGAGAATCACGGGATGTAGGGATGCTTCGTTTCTACTGAAGCAAGAGAAAATCAGGGTAAAATCAGAGAGGAAGGGCCTCCTTGATATACGTGAATTTCATTGCATTTTCATTTCGCTCGAACGGATGTTTGTCTATGAGACGTCTCCAGGAAGGGCTAAGCTCAAACAACATAATGGCTTGTAGTGAAAGGATTGGTTTTGTTGCTAAAAACGACTCCAAGAAATGTGCTTTTTTGCGAAAGTTTCAATGCGTACATTTGAGCGAAGTGTGGTTCCGTTTCCTTCCCAAACACAAAATATCGTTAGTGAAATAGATATTTCTCAACATTCGCCCTCATTTGCCTTTCTGTCTCCTCGACTTAAGAAGGTGAGTTTCCCCTGCTGTGGGTTTGTCTTCCTCTACGAGCTCTCATACCATTTACCTCAGTTTACTATTTAGCTATTTGTTTATTTGCCATTTTATCAATTCTTCCAATCTTTTACCATTTCAGGCCCACAGGGATTTGTTTTTGTTGTAAATCGCGTGGACATTCGCCGATTCTCAATTGACACACTAACTCCTGAGCTAGTAGTTTCTGCTGATCAAACTAACATCCTTTTTTTGGATTTCAACTTTGATACAAGACATATTTACTGGAGTGATAGGAAATATGACCGTCAGGACAGTATTCGACGAGCACCGGTTGATAACGGCAGTGATATTGAAGTGATTATCGAGGGAAATCTCGAGGGACCAGAAGGATTAGCAGTGGACTGGATCAACAAGAAGTTATATTGGATTGATACCAACTCGACAGCACCGGAGATTGAAGTTGCTGACCTAGATGGGAAAAATCGGATGAGTCTTATCCAGGAAGACTTACAAAAGCCAAGAGCTATTGCAGTACATCCGTTTCTTGGGTAATCACTTTATTGGGATTTTTTTTTTCCCGTACCTTCCGGCTGCTTAGGAACCGAAAATTATTTATCGCGGGGAGGGGGGGGATTTTGATTGTGATGCGTTAACATTACCTTATCCTCTACTAAGGCTCTGTAGAATTCTTATGACTCACCCCCCCCCCTCATTTGCAATTAATTTTCAGTCAATTTTTTATAGCCCCCCTCCTTTTATACTCTGTTAGCGACGACTCATCCCTCCTCCGTTTTCCCCTGAAAACTACGTGATCCCCCAATTCCCCTCTCCCCCCCCCTCACGATAAATGATTGGTCCCTTTTATATTTCTATGTAATCAAGAATACATTTGTTTCTTTTCAATTGTTTATATATTTTTTTGATCGACTGTCGACCATTTTTCACCTTTTTCTAGTTATCTGTACTGGACTGACTGGGGTGACGCAGGTAAAATAGAGAGATGCGCTATGAATGGTGATAGTGCAACACGTAGAGCTATAGTGACTGAGAACATAGGCTGGCCTAATGGGATCACAATAGACTACACTCTAAACAGATTCTGGTGGACTGATGCCAAGCAACAAACCATTGAATCTGCTGACTTGAATGGAAAACATCGCAAAGTTTTCTTGAGGGCCACGCCTTTAGAACATCCTTTTGGGATTTCAGTCTTCCTTGACAACGTTTTCTGGACAGACTGGAAAACATCGAAACTCCATGTTGCAAATAAGTTTACTGGAAAGGTTGCAAATGCTGTTGTTCTGCAAAGGCCGATGGATGTTGTTGTGTTTCATCGACAAAGGCAGCCAGTAGGTTAGTCTAATCACACGAAGTCAGTCTTGTAGTAATCGCATGGGTTTTGCTTCACTAGGCCTCTTGATTGGCCAATAACAAGTCTAACCACTTAGTAGACCAATCAGATAAGAGTTCAAAATCTTTTGCATAGTGCTGGCCACGTGTATTTTTCGTTGAACCTTATTGGTTTATCTGTCTTGTTACCGGTTTTCTTGATTGGTCTTTGCAATCGGTTTAAATTGTAAGGAGAAATTATAGCCTAATCACTGCTAGAAGGTAAGCGATGAGCTCGATTGTGTAGCAAGGAAAGCTTAAGGAAGCATTTACATACCATCCTCTGGGAGTGAAATACTGTTGCTCAGCTCACAGGGTTATGCTCTGAAAATAGAGGGTCACTTGGCTGGTAAACCTCTGTTATTTCAAGAAGAAAATGATGAAGAGAGTTTTTACGAAATTTCTAAATCGTACCAAATTCATTTGAGCTTAAAGGAGAGACCTACTGGGATGACCTGATGGTTGGCGCGCAGGACATGGGATCGAAAGAATATGATCCAAGGCTAGGGTCACTTGCTGCGTTGTGTTCATGTGCACAGGACTTTACTCTCACAGGAGCGTAAATGGGTACCAGCTAACTTTCATGGGAAACCTGGTGACGTGCAGGGGGGGGTAACGTGCGATGAAAATCCAGGAGAAGCAATATTCTCAGTCAATCAATGCTTTAGAAAATAAAAAGAACAATACCTTGCGAAAATTATGAGACTTTTGCTGACTGAACCTCACTCATTCCCGCTAAAACAAGCCACAGTTGAATGAAAAGCGAAAGTTCAGTTTTATGTGTCATGTTTCATTTGCAGGATCCAATCCTTGTGATGTCCCTACACAGCTCGGTGGCTGCAGTCACATCTGTTTATTGGCGCCTGTCGACTCTTACCCACAAGGCTTTTCATGCCATTGTCCACCTGGACTAACACTGCTTGCTGACCAGAAGACCTGTCATTCGCAGGCTCAGCCGCAACCCTGAGAAGTGGAGACTGGAGGAGGCGCAAGGGAGGGGGGGAGGGGGGGTTGCCACAAAAACTTTGCTTTTATAACAAATATTTACCATCAACATTTCTATGCTTAGAGTTATTCTCATTTTTAGTTTCCGATATAAGCTGGCTCACGAATCTGCCACGTTTTTCTTGCAACGTAGACTTGGCAATATCTTCTTTTTCAGAGGACACTACACTAAAGGAACACGCCCTAAAAGTCAGTTAGCCAATAGTAAATTGTTACCACCGGACCATCATTTCCCCTGTTTAAATATACTCAGAGCACCTTTAAAAGCTTTTGCCATTTAATTGCTGTCATCTTATCCGATAACATTTACTGTACTCAGAGTAGGGTTGGTTTGCCGTTAATGAAAGTACATCAGTACAATTGTTCGGCTGGTTACAAATACACGCCCTCTCATTAGTACTTTGTATCTGTTTATAGTCAACCTGCATGAAGTAGAGATTGTATTTTTGCCTGTGTTTAAGAATACAGTTCTCTTCAACCATTACAAGGATCTTCTCGTTTCTATCTCGTCAAGTTCTAGTCACTCTTACATTAAATGCAATCGTAATTCATGGCAGGATTTTCGAAGAGTGCGGTCCTTCAATTATGCATGTGCAGCTGTTTTTTTTTATGAATTATTAATTAATTTTGACAAATCTGAGAAGGAAGGGAGGGGGGGGTCCTCTGTTAGGGTCTTATTTATTTGAGAGGAATACAGGTTTTTTTACTACTATAAATTATCCCTTCAGCTTGACCAAAAGGAGGGTCTTGTACATCCTAGGGTTCCTCCTCCCCCCTCTCCTCATCTCTGACGCCTTTAAAATATTAAGAACATCCCATGTGGTTACTCGTAGGAGCTGTGGTCACGCATACTGTGTTTACAAACACAATACACCTGCTTATGGTGCCATGTGCGGTTTTTTCACTCGTGGCACCCATTTACAGGTGTTTTCGCTAATTACTTTTTAGGAAGGGATCCTTATTGAATGTGAACAAAACACGCAGAAATAAGTATTGTTGAAGCACGTGCCACGCGTTAGGAATCTTACTGTTAGATAAATATCGAATGTGTAGCAATGTTTAAGTGTCTGTGGGAATGGGAGACAGGTTGTTACGCCACATTATAAAACAAAACAAACCTGCTAAAATTTACATCAAAACTGAAAATGTGACTCCCGCAAAACCGAAAACACTCCGAGGTAGCGTAGAAGATCCTAAAAGAAAAAAAACCGAAAAACGTAGTAGAAATCAAATCTGAAAAACTAAATAATTTTTGTGCGAAAACCCGAAAACCGGATCTTACAGATGATCAAAACCGAAAGAGACAAAAGTCTCATTTTCATGTGAGGTTATTGATTTTGGAGTTTCAAGTTTTGTTTTCAACGCAAGCCATGTGTACTGTGTTCCGCTTCGGAACTCCAATTGTTATTATTTTTACTTTCTTAACCGTCATCGATTACATTTGGTTTTGTTTCAGGACTTCCGTTCTTATTTCAGGACATCCGCCCAGCTTGTTTTTGTCGAGGTCTGAGAATGAAATAGTGACCTTTGAACGATACATGTGAAAGTTAACAATGCATTAGACTGGTAATAGTGTGGGGTGAAAGTTAACAACCTTCAGGCTAATGTCGTGCAATATAATTATTCAGACATTCTAACAGACATCGAAAATGAGTGCGAACACGTGGTTCGCGTGTCTCTAGACCATTAGTGTTGGACGAAAATTCTTGACGAAAAAATTATCTGAATCTTGAGGATACTGTAGGAAAATTTGCTTGAAACACCTTGGAATATATATTCTAAACTCCTTTCTGACAGACCATGTTCCAATTCTCTACGTCACCTGAGCGCATGAAGTGAGTACTGTTTTTTTGGCGAAGAACCGATCACTCCCGGAAGGACTGTTTCTACCAAATTAATACAAGTGCAATTCAAATCCTAGCATCTTTCACTTTGGAAATCCACATTTCACACAAATTTCGCGTTGAAAATTTCGTCAAGGTGCAATACAATTAGAGATTGCTAATTCTATGAACAATATTGAATAAACTAAATCCAAACTGAGAAATACCCGTGTTTCTCCGTTGTAAGAAATAGTCCACTGAGGTAATAGTCTAGTTGGGGTTGTAATCTCGTCGCCATAGAACATCATTATTCAGTTTGCAATGACATGTTTACATCTCTGCACGTGTTGCAGCACATTAAACGTTTGGTGAAAATGAATATTGATTTGAATGAATGAGGAATTTTCCGAGGCAGCGTTTGAAGCGAAATTTACGAAAAGAAGCCCTTGACAGGAATCAGGTGTGGCTGATGAGTGGTACCATTGGTCTACATCGGCACTGAACATGTAACTTCTCCCTATAATATTCATACATTATCCAGAAAACAGGTAATGAGAATATTCAAGCTCATCAGGTAGAAGTTCGAGGTTGTCTTGATCTGACACTAAATACTCGCAACTAATTTTCAAGGAATTGTCTAACAGCTAGTGGGGAGAATTAAAAATCACATCTTAGGAGTTAAAGGGTTAAAAAACAACAGGACAACTGTTGCGTTCCACTTTACTAAAGCATTTTTCTCATGTTGTCTTTTTCTCAGAAATAGGTCAGAGAATAACAAAGAACCTTAATTAGACTTACAGGACACGGGTTCGAGTTTTCATTGAGCTTGTGGTCGGAGAAGGGAGATTTTCTTAAACATCCAACCACACACAGAAAGAATTGAAGAAAATACAGAACACTCCCGTGAAATCGCTGTCTGTGTTTTTTTGTACTCATTAAATTACGAATCGATTGGCCTACGTTTTCTAGGTAGCAGTTGATGATGTTCGAATAAAAAAACAATCCAATGAATAAAGACAGTAGAATTCCGTAGATTCATTTAAATACGGAAATCAGGAGTCCATCGGGTAAAAGGCCCATGGGGAAATACAATATGTCACGAGAGGGCCGCCATAAATTATCACAAAGGTCAAAATACTATCTGCTAAACAAACAAAATTTCGTGAAACTCTGCACGAAACATCAATATGTTCGCTGCTTATGTGGTAATCATGAATAGCTCTATAAACAGAACGTGCTCTACGTGCTGTTTAAAGGAATACTGTTGAAAGAATTAATAAACGAAATTTGCTGTGTAATTGAAATATCGTGACTGATATTTATAGATTCTATTTGTTCTTTGCGAATTCATTTATTTTAACTGGGTAATCTTTTTCTGAAAACAAAATCCTCTGAATGCCGTTGATTTCAACAACAAAAGTCTACTAATTTCCAAGTTCAAAGTATTCCAGTGAATGAACCGATAAAAATTTGTCGATCTTAACTGGGACAAATTCGAGTTTATCCTCTTACACTGATCGAACAGTAAATTAATCTTCATGTTTCCACTTCTTAACAGATGGGTCAGTAGGTTATTTTGCCGTGAAGATATTCTATGACTTCTATTTTCTTTTCGTTCGTCAGTTGATCGTGTTTCCTGATCCGAATATTTAACACTCTTAAAGTGAAATACAGCCTAAAAAGATCTTTGTGAAGTACATTTAGACCAGATGCCAATTTTACTTAGTCTGCCTTTTTGTCTCCCTGAATAATTACTGATTTTCCTATTCATTTTTGGATAAGTTCCAACAGCTTAACAAACATGTTCATGTCAATATTCATTCGCCAGTCACGACAGCTTTAAATCGGACATTTTTTGACCTTCGCCTTCCTGTTGTTTTCCTACACAGGAAAGTTGATATCTAAAATCGATGCTTTCCGCAGGGAGATTTGCAACATCTTGGGCTTGTAGGCTGCAAAACAATGATATAGTTTCCTTTAGACACCGCTGGCTGCAAGCCAACCCAGAAAGCAACCGAAAGTTGTTGATTATCTCAGACTCCCACAGCTAAACCATAAATATTCGCTAGAATTACTTGATCTTGTTTGGATTATAAAAAAAAATGGACCCCAGCATAACCCAGAACAATTGGCTCTGGTACTGCTGCAGATGAGTTCTCAATTCTTAAAATGCGGTGTTGCCGATTTTCATAAGAAATATGATAGACCGAGATATGTAGAGACAGAAGCCATAAACTTAAGGTATTCACAAATTTTTAATTGGTGAATGCTTAATGTTATAGTTTTGGATGTCGGCCATTATTGATCAGGGCATACTCTTGAGGTTTCCTGACACAAACAAACCGGGCGTCAACGGAAGTAGTTTAGAAAACTATAAGGTGCCAGAGCATCATTGAATCAGCGGCGTTAGCATCTCAAGGGACTGAAAAAGGATCTATGCATCAAAGCGTTGAGTGCGGATTAGCTTTTGGCCTCAACGCAGAAGCTTTGGAGGAGCTTTACTTTGGCGTCTGTGATGTGTACAGGATGAGGGTATATGTGACGTGTTGCTAAAAATGGATATGTTACGTTACGTGATCTAAAGGGATTGTGCCTGATACCTAAAAAGGATCAGAAAAAGTTACAGCACATAAAGTTATTAAACAAAATGGGTAGAAAAACGTGTTTTTACACTCATTGCGATCCTCGGTCAAACTTGTTCTTGAAAGTAAACTTTAATACTACGTTTCACAGTCAGGAACACGTAGATATTGTATGGCACTCTGAAGTGCGAGGGCGTAGAACTGATACGTGATGTGAGGAAATATTTACGACTTTTAATCTGAGTATTGCTGTTCCTTTCATTTGATATACCAGAGCCGGACATGGTAAGTTCTTGTTACGTAGATTCACGCCCAAGTCACATTGTAAGAACAGCGAATTTGTCTTGGTTAACTCTTCAGTAATCCGACGACGTTTAAATGACCAGATTGTGTAGCTTTTTTTTATGAGATTTGTTTTGCCAAGAGAATATTAACTTTATAAACTTTATATGTTATTTTTGGTTTTGCTACGTTAACAACGATTCGACTTCCAGAAGAGAGGATGGAAAATATAGCCATCGTGTCTCCCCAGGAAAAGTTTCACTCTAACTGGCTGTGAAGACACCAGCAAACACTGTCAATGTTAAGGGAATGATTGCGACTTAAATTTTGGCCGCTAGACCAGCAGAACGTCGGAAACAAATTTTAGGTAATGAAAGAACTATTCAGGCACGTCATAAAATAAGTTTATAAGAGTGTAAAAAGGTCACCCAAAAGTGTTTTCTGGTCAGCAAAGCGAGAGAAGATACTACTCTACTGATTACGGACAGTTGCATCTGAAATCGGAACTGCCCAATATAGAATCAAAGTATCAGTGAAAGTGATCACCAGTAAACATTTTTTTTTTATAAAGGAAGATGTTTTACGTTTGTCTTCAACTCAGGAAAGGACTTCTACGTCATACCTCGTGGAAACGTCTTGCTTATTTTTCAAGGTCGTCATTTTTGTGTTGTTGATGTTTTTTCACTCACATTTTCTTTTCCACTTCAAGGCGAGAGACGGTTTTGCTCAGCGAGGAAGCTGCTTTAGAATATTGTTAAGTCGCGTGTTTGATAAGGTGACGGTTATGGAAAACCGTTGGATTGACGAAGTTTTTGTTGTATTAATATCAACACAATTTCCAGTTCTTTCGGTAACAAACTGTAAATTTCAAGTTAACTCGACATTTGACTTATCTGAAACTAATTCTACTTGTGCGCCATTTTGTAAAACTCATGTGGCAAACCTTGAAACAGAAACTAAGATTGTAGCCTTGTGTTTCAGATCAGCATCTTAACTTTCAGTCCCTGAACACATGTAGTGAAACATTTTAGGGAAAAATTATCAATGATATATTGATATTCCTAAACAATTTCGCAACTAGAAAGTTCGCTTCCTTTCAGATCTGTTCCACTTCATCATAGGAGACTTTTGATCCCCAGGAATAACTGTTCATAAATAATATAATATTTGTATATTTCAATATTGATCAGCTATGAAACAAAAATGTTCCCAGCACTGTATAAACCGTATAATTCTCGATTAATGCGCAAATTATAACTCCATGAAATCACAATGCCAGAGAGGGTCAGCTCGTTTTGATCTAAAGACCTAAGAAATTTTAATGATATTCCGGTACAAAACTGAAATAAAATGGCTTTGAACTCAGGAGACCATGAAAGAATAGCCTTGAGCGATTTTTAAACAACAGGAAATAAAAAAATATCCAAATTTCTCCGCCGATTTGGCGCCAGTCAAAGAAACCTCCTTATGCGGTTGTTTCAAACTCACGAAAGCACACGGAAATCGTGCAAATCCAAGCATTTCTGTTTGATAGTTTTACCTAACAGCTGTACTAACAAAACCAACTTGGTCTTTCAATCAACCATTCCACGCCCTCGCACTGCCCTCGGACAAATTACCAAAGGTCTCTGAGACTGGATTCATCTGAAATACGAGAAGTACTTCCTTTATGCTTTAGAGTGTTTAACCATTTCCGCCGGCCTTTATGTAATAAAGGGCACAACAGAAATACTACTTACACTAAACGTTTAATGACGACATTGAAATCTGTCAAATTGGTGAGTGCAGTCTGTAGTTATCGCAGATAAATTGGTTATTTAGGGGTTGATGAATAATCTTGGAGGTAATACTTTTATTTGATTCACACTTACGAAATTTTTTTCATCCGAAGCTATAATGAGTAAATGATTGAACTGAGCAGAGGCTTCTAAATTTATTGAGGGGAATCCTCATATCGTCGAGATCGCTTTATTTTGACATGGATATGTTCTATGTTCATAAGTTATGACTAAAATGCAAATCGAGACTTTCATGCCAACATCCGCAGGATTTCTGTACTCGATTTATTTATAACAACTCAAAAATAATGAATAATTTTCATGTTTAATGTCACTTTAGATTATTTTTCTCTTTACGGTTTTCATATTAGTGGTGATAAAAACGAAGGTTGCTCGCTGATAAATTTCCAGACAAAACCTTAGAGATCTTTTGTATCGCAAACATAGACAAAGCATTATTATTTTGAAGTGTGGAAATTCTTTAGAATCTTTTATACAGTCGAGCGCTTGTGAGCAGTGAGCTCTTTTGAAATGACCTCTGGACAAAACAGTGGAGACCCCGGCTCAGTTGTGGGTACGTGAGTAGATTTCAAATAGGAGGCCGTACCGACTATTGTTAACCAAATCAGTCATTTCATGCATATTTAAATCAGCACATGGCATACATGGCATGGCTTGTCCGTGTGCTGTAAGCAGCAAATACTCAATGATTTTTCAATGAATTTGCTGTATTAAGATGCGTTAAGACTCGTGGAACAATTGATACTAAGACGTTGTCCATAACACGAGTGAGTGGAATCCCGGAGATACCCAAAGTCTCGTGTTTTTCCTCGCTGCTATAATCAACAGAGTATTACATTTACAACTCAGGGTATGTTAAAAAATTTTTCCAATCGTTAAGACTTGTTATTGTTTTATCAGATACTTAGCAAACCTCGTGATTTAGTTTATACATATGCCGGACTTAAGAAATATCCCTTTACTAAAAAGCCTTGGTCAAACATTCTACAAAATTACCGCATACCGTTTCTGAGGGTTTAATGTTTTGATTGATTATGCACTGACTGGTCAAGACGTGGTTTTTATTTAGACTATTTATATCATGACCTCAAATGTCATTTACGAAATCGTTCTGTTATCATATCATGTTAAAATGCTTGCGTCATAGAACCTATAGCGGCCCCCGGGAAGTGAACCGTATAGCTACCTACAAGAATGCAGTATTACGTTTCGTGTCGTTGATTTTAGGCGAGTTTCGTTGGATTACATCTCGTATTTGTGTGAATCATCTGGTCAATTCATCGATTTAAGGTTATAGCGTTCGATTAAAACTCTTCTGGTGTTCCGAAGTGTCAAAATCTTTTTCTGACGATTTCGTGATTGCACGTGATTTTGGACAGCAGTGAATACGTCGTTCTTGTGTCTTAATACTCGTTCATCTTGGGTCCCATCGATTTTTTAAGGTACGTGGTTAGTTCTTTAGGGCCAGTGTTTCATTGTTAGTCACATAAACGATCTTATTCGTAAATGGTGGATTGAAAACTTTGCTAAATTCTATTTCGTGCCAGATACGAAATAACGAAATTGCGCAAAGTTATAGAGCCCCACTTCAGTCTTCTCAAAATCATACCATTTGATTGTAGACGGAATGCACGAATTTAGCCTTAAGTAACGCTGTAACTGCAATGTATTCACCAATCACGAGTTCATCTATGGTTTAATGTCCAATTCTTTAATTTAGCATCAAGTTGATCATCTTCTCGAGGAAACTATCACAATTTGACGACGACTATATGATTAAATCTTCCAAGATATTTCAAATGAGACGTTCTCGCAGATATAAATCTTACTAACTGACAGGAACATTCTTCAAACAGACTGAATATTTCGCATTTGAGCAAAGGAGTGGTCGAATCTTTCAATATCTTTTAGTCTTTTGGAGAATGTGTTCTTTTAAATTGGACAAATGTTCCTCAGGATAAGATTTTATAAATTGTGTAAACAACATCAATATGGATATCTTACTCACGTGATGGCGAAGTAAAAGATGTATTTGTAGCGGCGCCTCAGTGACTTTCATCGTACATCTGCTAAGTTTAGATTTCAATAAGTCACTATACTATCAGCAGAGGTGCCCCAATTTTCTATAAGTTACGCCTCCAGGAAGTTCGGATCGAGGTTTCGCTTTTCGTGGGTTTGCTTGTGAATGATCACTGTGCACGAAGCAACTCTGATATTTGGAGAAATCAGCGCAAACTCGGCAAGTTTTTGGTCACAGTTTGTTTAAATTCTTACAATCTCGAGCGGTAATTGTTAACTTGATCAGCATTTTATCGCAAATATTCTTTGTTCCTTATGATCGATTTATTTGCAGATTAATTATCGTTTTTTTCTCTTGATAACTAATTATTGATTAAAAAGTTAGATCAAAAAACCTTTTTATCTAACAATCTTTTTATCGTTTCTCATACAATCTTTATTTCCTTTGCTGTCTCTTGCAATCTGATCATAAGTGACCCTCTAAGTACTTAGCGAGGGTGAAAAATGTTTGGAATTTTTTCATATGTTTCAATTCATGTTTTGTCACTCCAGTGGAAACATTGTCTACAAATTGTTAATTGGGCCATAATAATTTCAAAAACTTCTCAACTCTTCGTTTAAGTTTGTGAAGAGCAGAATGATGTACAAAATGCTGGATTTGCATAAAACCGCATTAGATATTTCCGGTGTGTCGGCGAACCACTCGGTGGCGATGTAAACAACATCGTGAAAACAAGTATAGCCGGTCAAGCAGGGATAGGTGTCATCATAATGGCCGTCTTTGAACCTCGTGTGGCATACCCGCTTTCGATCCATCAAGCTCGTCCGAAACTTTATTTATCATGTTGAAAAACCGACAAAAATGTGTGCTACAGCTTAATGCATTAGATGAAATGAGCGTTTAAGGTATAAACACTTCGTTCATAAGAGAGAGTTAACTGAAAAGTGGATTTGGCAAGATTACCTGAAGTATTATTAACATGGCAGCTTAGGTCGCGAGCCCGTCGGCCTAAAGGTTATAATTTGCATCCAGAAAAATATTAGTAAAATTTCTGGAACAATTCCGTCTTCTTGTTGTGATGCAAGTGATTTTCGTCTCTTAGTAAGTTAAAAATAGAATTTATTTTTGGTGATTTTTTTATGATTCAAATGGTAATCGATGAGTTGAAATTTTTACTTGTTCCGACACTTTTGTGCCTCTTCTAATAGGGTTGACCATTTTACTCTGTGATAAAATGAGTTGAAGAAAGATGCTGGATTTCTATTCAAACGATCAGAACAACTGAACGCAACTTGGTCGAACTTTAATTCAGAAGTTGAAGAGTTAACAATAAACTATTTTGGAAATGGTTTTATTTTGTCAATGTCATCAAAATTTAAAGGGTGGAATTTGGATCAATTTTCTTTGACATGTGGGAATATTTATTTTTACAGAAATTGCTTAGGGAAGATCTTATTTTCCACATGAAAAGTAATCAGTAGCTTTAGTTTCAAAGATCATATCTCTTTCCATGTTGGATGATAGCTATTTTGGGATGTCTCTCTCAAACCAAAAGCGCTTTATAGTGAATACATTCCTTCGACATAGAACGTCAAAAAATGTCCCGTGAGTTCTCGGCGTTTTATGACGTATCTTCGTGGAAGAAAACAAACAATTTGTATCTGTTTACAGGTGCATCTTTGACAAGAATTGACGCGATGGTCACATTTTGACATTGATGTTTTCGGATAAATGAAATTTTTGTCTTCTTTGCAATTGTTAGAACTCAGGAATACAAGGATGCAATAGAAAAGAGAAAGAAAAGCGATCTAATAGAACCCCTTTTTATCAACTGAAAGTTTTTTTTTCAAAAAAACCTGTATGTTACGAGCTCATAAGCGTGCTGTACATTTGCACAAAATTTTGCTGACTAATATGTTTTGAATAAGCAATGAAATGGTAGCATCTTCATAAATATCCCCAACGTTATCGGCTCATCATTTCATGAGGCAATCATAGGACTCTATGAGTAATAAACACGTGCATTTCGCTCCTTTCATAAGATTTCATCATCATCCAACTTCTTGAATATTTCGTTTTGCCAGTTTAATATCAGTTAAAGAAATTATTTTGGCACAAGAATTTGAATGTTACTCCAAAGAAATCTGAACTTCAGCATCGAGACATCTCAACGAAATTACTTTTCATCATTTAGAATATTACTATTTTTCTCCGCAACAAATTAGTTCATAAGTTTTTTAATTATCACGTTAAGGTTCGAGTAAATATTGTGGATGTAGAATTAAAATTTTTCCACAAATTAAGAGGATTTGGAGAGTGTACCTGGCTTAAATCCTGGCATGCGCAAATACGTTGTAATTTGTTTACTTTCGTCTCCATTTGGCTTTCGCGTTTTCACACATCTTCGGCCCCCGAGGAATACACGAGAACATTCCGGAAATACCAGCGATAACCGCTGTCTATTTCATGAGTTTCCATTGGTCAAATTGAGATCACATGATCTAAGTTTGACCATATTTGGATTCAGTTTTTCGTGTTTTAGCAGCTTTCCCGCCAACGGGTTGGTATGTGTGACAACAACAAACGTCAGACTCGAGTTTAGAGTTCATGTGTTATTCCGACGGATTTACGGGCTAAATGTGGTTAATCTTGTTCCTTCGACCCTAGAATACGCTTTCCTCGAGAGAATCTTGGACATGGCAAGATCGTGGAGGAACGTGATCGAGCTTTTGGTCTGTGTGTGTATCGCTTTGGATTTTGCTCAAACAATAGGTGAGCGTATATCGATAATCTCTCTACGGTAGTTATGTTTTGTTATGATTTTCGTTGTCGTAAAATGAAATTTTCAAAATGGATCTCGATGTCTTTTGCCATCATGACGAATAAACTTTCTTTCTATTGCATACTTTAATTCATGATCTTCATTGATATCATGTGGGAAAATGGAAAACAGCGAATTCAAGAAGACATGGTTATGCCACGAAGTCGTGGGATCGTAAAATCTCGAATATAGCAACTTCCCTTCTTTTCTTTCATTGTCTTCCTTTGAAGACACTCTATAAGCAGCGTCCATAATTTCCTTACGAAACGTAGAATAAGTCATGTACGACTGATGTTCTCTACATGATTACAATGATTCAACGGCGGTAAGTAGTATCATATGTTTGCCCTGTAGTCTCGTACTACTGCGTACAGTACTCACTGACGACCGTCCTTCGATTTCAGTTGCAGAGTTTCGATGTGGTAAAGATCAGTTTGCTTGTGGCAATCAGTTATGTATTCCTGAAAATTGGAAATGTGATGGAGAAGATGATTGCGGAGATAACTCCGACGAGAAGAATTGTCGTAAGTTTTCGCTCTTTTGATGATGTGTAAAATAGAACCCGCTTGTTGTTATTGTGAATTGAAGTGGTGTGCGTTGCTTCACTCGTTTGCTGAAACCGTGGTAGATCTTTCTCTTTCTTTCCTTTCTTCTCACCTTAAACCTTTAAATTAACGAGATAGGCTTTAAACTTCAAGATAGGATGAAGAATTTCTTCTTTTGCTGTAATAGGAAGAAGAGTCGTAACGCAAAAGAGCGTGTCCATCTGTTTGGACGTGGAAATGCGCCATTAATAGTATATGAATGAAAAACGATTGGAACGAAAAGTTTATTAGAAGATTTGCTTATGTCTCACTTAGAATATCTCATGTATTTCTTTTAGCGGGATGAAGTATGTTTAGTTTGGTTTTTATCCTCAGAGAAACAGAATAAGCATGTGTAGAATCAACGTTTTCCATTCCTTCGTGGGTACGTGGATTATCTAAGCACTAGTTGCGTCTGTGATTTTGCTTTCCACAATACGGCCCAGAGATTTTTTTATGTTTTTACTACGTTCTCTGCGATTACTTTCAAAGATTTTGTGGTCGATTTTGGCCGTCGATGGACAATCGCGATTAAACTAGGCAATTTTCAGTGATTTTTAGTTTACGAGTCTTCACTTGTTTTTGTTCGTCGTAGTCACTTTCCTATTTGCATACAAGACACAAGCTCAGGCGGAACTTCAAACAACTCCTAATTCTTCATTGGCTGGGAGAATAAAAAACATTGGTAAACAGTTCGGCAAGGTTGTTTATTATTTCTTTGCCCAATGGGGTTTTTTGTTCTCACGCTAAATGTGCGAACTTACACAAAAGCCCCACCGCCCTCCTTCATTTCACTGCGAATTTCGTTGTCTGCGACGTTTAGTCTCCAATTTTTTTCGTCTCCCACGCCATTTTTGCGCTCGGAGTTAGTTGTTGTGGTAACAAATGATTTGCAGGCGTTTTAATCCTTGCCATCGCCGATCTAAGATCGAGGCGTAATGTTGTTTCAACATTTAAGATACTTTCGCTGATTCTTTGACGTTCCACCCCACGTTCCAAAGAAGGAATTGCTTTCGTGCTAACCAAAAAATGTTCAATATTTATTTTGCTGATAGCGAGATGTGACATTTTCTCGTGAAATATTCCAGCGTTGGTTCAAAGGTCTCTGTTCAGTCCTTTTTATTAAACTTAATGGTAAAAGACGCCTTTTACTTAAGTCTCCTAGCCATACATCAATCCAGACTAGTGCCAAGGTACATGCCATTGAAAGGAAATCTGTGTTCACCACACACACAGTGCTCTATGAATTATGTTTCTATCTTGTGAAGTTGTTCTTTTTAAGTAGGAGAAGAAAAAATGTTAATCTAGTGACTACGAATCACATGACCGTCTCAGCTAGTAAACTTTGAAATACATGCTCCATTCAATATGAAAATTTCCTGAGAGAAATCGTGATTTTGCAACGTGACTCAAGGTTGATATTTCATTTGTAGCTTACTGGTGTCTAAATATTGTTTTTACTTATAATTACAACTGAACAAGGGGTCGTTACGTTATATAAATGGTTCTTTGATTGAAAGAGTTGAAATAATTTTTTTTAACTAGGAAAAATTGTTTTTGAAAACATCAGCTAAAGAGAAAAAGCTTGTTAAGTGGTTTAGTTTTTCCTTCTCAATCTTAACTAAGGAGGATCAAACCATTTTCACACCAGCAATAAGTTGTTTATCAGTCTCAGGTGCCAGAGTGCAAAAAGCCATTTATAAAGCCATTAGTTAAATTTTAAAGTAAATGGCTATTTAGAGTTTGTTTTGAAAGCTATCTATAAGTATTCAGGGCAATCACTCTAGTTTTGTTTCGGTAACCAAGCAGAGTAATTATGTTAGAAATTCTCTTGCCTTGGAATGGAGATTGATGTCTTGGTAGCTAGGCTAGAATGTGAAAATGAGAAATGTTCTTGCCCTGTTACTTTTGTTTTGTGGAGTAAAACCAGGATCTTGGCACCTTTTGCAGACTTCCTTTTCCTATGATAAAGTAAAACTTTTTAGCCTGAGAAAGATTGTGTTAAGGTTTGAAAACCAAGTCAGCTTGGTTGAACAGAAGGTGGGATAGTGAGGCTGTAAATTATCTTCAACACTGATGCTAGTGACCATGTAGCATTCAATTATGGGTAAGAGATATCTATGGCATGATAAATATTGTTCAGAGCATAATAACAAGACTGGCACATATGTTTATTTTATTTTGTTCTTAATCTCTCACTGGTGGCCAACTTACTATCTATCATCAGATAAATAATAGCATTATCACTCTGGTTGGAATGCTATTCTTGTCTTTCCTTTAATTTATTTTAAGTTGTGTATTAAAGAACTTAATTTTTTTGTCTTATAGCTGTTAGACATTGTGATCTAAGCACAAACTTTGCGTGCAAAACTGTAGACCGTTGCATTCCTCTGAGATGGGTGTGCGATTTCACTGATGATTGTGGGGATAATTCTGACGAACCTGCAAACTGTGGTATGTAATTAAAAATCGATTTACTAATAGATATCATGTTGCCATGTCTGTTCAGTAATAGGTCACAGGTGACGTCAATATGGTAAGAACAAAGAATGTTACTGATAACCTTACCAAATTTTGTTGTCCCCTGTGATCTTTAACTGAACAGATGCTTGAAACATGGAATCTATTTATTTCATTTAGTAGAGAAACTAGATGTTGTTAATGGTGATGTCATTTATGTGTCTATTCTCTGATAGAACATATGTAAGAACCAATCATACATACATCACGTGTACATATTTCAGCTTATTATGTAACACAGTATATTAAGCAGTTGCAGGAAGAAAACTATTTTATTATGAGAAAATTAAATTCATATCTTTTAACTGTCACAAAATAGCATTATCACTATTCACACATGTACAAGCTTCTGTACTTGTTTGATCACTCTATAAAACAGAAATTACATAAATTTGATTGGATGCTGATATTGGGGACCCTTTGTGCATTACTGAGTGTATAGCCTCAGGAAAAACTAATGCTAAGAGAACAGCTTTGCATTAGTTTAAAAGGGCTAGAGGTACAAATGTAGATTAACAATCTAGTGCTGATGACATTGGACAAGTATAAATTTCTGTCACACTCAGGGTTGTCAAAATAATATGGCAGTTGGTGCATTTTTCCTTCTACCCTGGAAAATGGGACAGCTATTCCAAATGTTTTTGGCTCAATTTTCACATGGAAGCATTGCATTGTGCCACTTTGTATTACAGTTCCATTTCTCAAAATATTGTGTAAAACCTCGCTTATTGTCAGTGTCTTTCATCATTTGGATCACAGTAGATGCTAATCTGAAACATTTTTGTTTGTAGCCCAAAGAACATGTTCAGAGAATGAACATGCATGTGGAAATGGTCATTGCATTCCAATGCGGTGGCGCTGTGATCGGGACAAGGATTGTAATGATGGTAGTGATGAACGAAATTGTGGTAAGGTGTCATTATCTGCAGCACACCAGACATTTGAGAGGACATTAACAAAGCGGCCGATTAAAATTAAACCATTTAAAAGATTTTTAAGCATAATATGAAACGGAGTGCGAATTGCTTCTAGTTTTGATAAGGTCAATTGAAATTGTCAAGAACTAATTTGAAACATTAAAATTGAGTGATCCTTGATTTTTTTGAGAAGTGAATTTTAAATGAGTCATCTTCAATATCAGCCTTTGAATCAATGTCTTGAGAAATTTTAGGAATCTTGAACACAGCAAGTAAAACTTTTGTCACTTAAGCTACTACTTGGAAATGTCACACGCAACAGATTTCATTAAAATTTTCATTTTTACCTAATTCAAATTTCAAATTTTGTGCATCTTCTAAGTGGTTCATATGTCTGGTAAATAACTCTATTTCACAACTTTTGATCATTATTACTTGTGATTTTGCCAAAGTAATGTTTTAATTTTAAAATTAGGTATTATGTATGATTAAATGTTAACTTTGCTACTACTGTATATGTTTTTCATGTTGAACAGTCAGGTTTATCTATTTTTTTTAGTATGTTTAATTTATTAAACTTGTTTGATTAGATAATAGATATAATTGTATGCCTTGTCTGAAATACATTGTCATCGACATTTAGTTATTTAGATTCTTAAATGTAATATTTATGCCTAGACAAGAGAAATATTTTGATTGGATATTCCCATAAATGAAATTTTGACCATCAGGTTTTATTTTCTGTCATTTAAAACATTTCCCTTGTTCCCAAAGTAACCTGTTTCATTAATATCTGTGGCCATGATAAAAAATTGAAGTTAAACAGTCAAGTACCAAACAATTCACTACAAACACTCCCTGTAAAAGTGAATAAAAAAATAAGCATTTAAACCTTACTATGTCATCCTCTCTATGTCTGGTGATGGAATTTCCATTAATCTGTGTTTTGTTCATTTTATTTTTTGCTACTCTTCTCTGAAAAAAAGGACCAATTTCTTCAGGTAACAAGACTTGTAATGGTAATGAGTTTACCTGTTCAAATGGCAAGTGTATCTCGCGTAGCTGGCGGTGTGATCTCGATGACGACTGTAAAGATAACTCAGATGAAAAAAATTGTCGTAAGTAGTATATGTTTTCTTTGGTGAGCACTATTTGTGACACAACAAGCAGTTGCAGAATTACTCTTAACCCTTAAACTCCTGAGATCTGATTGTTAATTCTCCTCTCTAGCTGCTATATATTTCCTTGTAAATTAGTAACCAGAATTTGATGTTAGATCAGGATAAATATTTCTTCTTGCTAATTTTGAGTATTCTTATTATGTGTTTGTGGATAATGTATGGGACACAGTGTTTCATAGGGAAAAGTTACAGGGGTTAGGGATCTAGAGTAGAGTATCTAGAGTTTAGAGTATCTTCTTAATTAGGGGTTCGAAATTTCATCACAAACTTTGTAATAATAGATATTTTACTGTGATTGTTTCACTACTTTTCTCTAATTACATTACCTTAAATACTCATCCCAGCTAAGGGCCTAAAGGTAACTCACATGTAATCTATGTTTCTGTCTGGGCACTTACAGCTAACAAGACATGCAAACCAACAGAGTTTACTTGTAACAGTGGACGGTGTATAAAGGGGTCCTACAAGTGTGATGGGGACAATGATTGTCAGGATGGCTCTGATGAAATTGGCTGTCCAACCACTGGTCCTGTGTGCAAGCATAGTGAATTTCAGTGCAATTCTCATGACTGTGTTCATGAAAGTTGGGTATGTGATGGAGAAAATGATTGCAGTGATGGCTCAGATGAGAAAGGATGCAGTGAGTATTAAAATTTCAAATGTCTGATGTTGAATTAAAAAAGCAACAGTAAAGTATTTTTTAGGGAATTTTAATGCTTGTGGTAAATCAAAAAGCAAAGTGATAAGAACTGCCCATAAGATTAAAGAAAGAAACACCAGGAGCCTATGAAAATGGAGAGGAATATAAGTAAAGTGCTTGAAGGGCAGGGAAATGCAGCTGACTAGGTGGGGATGAATTTCCTTTTAGTTTTGAAGCTGATTGGTAAAGATGATTGCATGAGTTTTCTGGACAAATTACTGAGCAAAACAAAACAAAACAAAAATAATTCCTGAATGCTTTTGACACTCTGCTGAAAATTGCCTTTTGGGGTTAAATTAATGTGTGCATGTTTCTAAGAAACCTTAGTTGGATGAATACAAATGTAAGCCCTTTGTCCATGTGACAGTAGAGAATTTAAGAACGCAATGGCAGCAATGGCAACAAGAACTTAGTGAAACAAAAGATCTTATGAGCAAAACAACAGTGAAACATGTGAGTTCTAAAACTTTGTACTTAACCATCCCATACAAAGCAAAAACATGAAACAGTTAATGCATCGAGCTATTGGCCAAAATCTTAGAGGAAAATAAATTACACTTTTCATGCAACTTTTTATCACACGTTGCGGTAGTGACATCTTAAACTCCCTAAAATAGTAGCCAGGTCATTAACAGGTGACTGTCTTGATCACAAGGTCAGGTTTAGCCTTGGGCTGCTGGTGTAATTTAAAGATTATCCACTGAAGGGGCAAGCAGTGAAGATGTTGATTGACTAAAACTTCTGCTTATATTTTTTTGTTTTCTTCAGATGTTACCTCCTGTGGTTCTAATGAGTTCAGTTGTACCAATGGGAGGTGCATATCTATTCACTCGCATTGTGATGGCAAAAATGACTGTTTAGACAACTCAGATGAGCGGAATTGTGGTGTGTTGATGAGTTCTACTGCTCCATGTATTGTTCAGTTTGATTTTGAATTTTTAGTACCATCTTGTTGTCTAATCAGGAAAGATGTATGTTTCCCCTTTTAGCTCCTGTAAAACCAAAGCCTTGCAAGGATGATGAATTCCAATGTGGTGAAACAGACCAATGTATTCCATACAGTAAAGTTTGTGATGGTAATGAGGACTGCAAGAATAAATTGGACGAACCTTTTACTTGTGGTAAGTAACTCCTTTTTTCCATGAAGCTGGTCACATCTAATTGACTCTGTTTTCACATAAATAAAATATATTACAAGGGCATCTCATGTATTGCTAAACAAAAATGTTGGAATCGTAAGTAGGTTTAAGCTTGTTAGTATTTAAAGTTCATATCCATGATGAATCTTGTTTTTGAAAAAGTATTATATCTAGAGCAAAGGTGTAAGACAGTATTCTAATGTGAATTTAAGAACTTTAAATAGCTGATCCTGTTAAATTATTTTTTGAACAGCAATTAATGAATGTATTGATCACAATGGCCATTGTCAACAAATCTGCAATGATACCAAAACATCTCACTTCTGCTCCTGTCGTCCGGGCTTTGAAGTAGATAAGGAAGATCCAAGAATTTGCAGAGGTATTGCCTTAGAAATTAGAAATATATTGTCCTTTTTTTGTTCCACATTTAGGATCTTGCAGTGCACCTTTTGTAGACTAGTATTCAAGGGAGGGGTTCTGCAGTATCCTTTAGGTAGCTTTAAATAGACTAAGGGAGCTTTGATAGGCCTGTGATTATTAACCCCTAGAGGTGATAAGTGTGTAAATTCTCCTTACCATGTCAGCACATTATTTGCTAATCAGGTGATAAAAAAGGCAAGTTTATCAGGTAGAAGGTGATATCCTTGGGTAACTCCACATTCTCTTTACTAGTTCCAAGGAAAAATTTTGCATCACACAAATGAACCAGAGGAATTTGAGGGAAAGGAACTGTTAACATTAACCCTCCAGCACAAAATTACACTTTTAACAGACTTCACAGGAGGCATACAGAAGTTAGAGACCTAGTGGTAATTATTTTCAGTATTTGCATTGGAAATTCTTTTGAGATTTTTTAATGATTCCTTCTAGATAAGAACGAGTGTGAAATTCCAGGGTCATGCAGCCAAACTTGTTACAACACAAAAGGAAGTTTCAAATGTTATTGCCGAAGTGGGTATGAACTGGAGCCAGATCGCCGAACCTGTAAAGCGATAGGTAAGTGGACATAGTGCCTTGGCTTTTAAATGTGTACCTTATGTTTAGATGAATGGCTAAGGACTTCAACATAAGGGCATAGGAAGGAAAGGAGGGAGAAAGTTTAGCTTTGAATTTGTGCTTTGTCTGGTTTCAGCATTGCGTAAGAGCCATTCAACTCAAGTTTGTGATGAAGAGACTTTTTCATTTTTCACAGGTGAATCAGGCTTCCTCATTTTTGCCAATCGTCAAGACATTCGCCGCCTCTTGTTTGATTCTTCTGACTACACAGAAATGGTACCAGAGCAGCGGGGTGCTATAGCGTTAGACTATGACTTTGAAAGTGGGTACATATTCTGGACAGATGTCATTGATGAAAATATCAGGCGAACTAAGATGTATGACAGTTCTGTCGTTGAAGACTTGGTGAAGATAAACCTCCATACACCAGATGGAATTGCTGTAGATTGGATTAACAAGAAGTTATATTGGACAGACACTGGTGTAGACATGATTGAGGTATCTGATTTTGATGGCAAGAATCGTCTTCAATTGGTAACAACAAATCTGGAGGAACCAAGAGCTATTGTTGTGCATCCTTCTCTTGGGTATGTGGAAGTAAATAATGTATTGTGGTTCTTTTATGGTTTTCTATTTGTGGGAATCCTCAGTTACTTTATGTGTGGCTTATCCTTATAATTCAGAATTATGAGCTGACTTTTTTTCTGAGCAGCTGCAGGTTTTAACCTATTGGTAACTATCAGTTGACACTTGAGAGGTTAAGCATGGGGTTTAGGAGAAATGGCAGATGGTAAAAATTGAAATTCTGGTAATATGATTTAGGCAGTTGGCACACCATAACAAAAATATTTGAATGAGAGATTTTCCTCAAATCTCCCTTGCTAGGCTGATTTGAGGGTTCTAGAGAAAATATGTCAAATCTGACTTAATTTTTGTTCTTAGTCACAGCTGTAAACATGCTTAAACTAAATTGTTTTTCTTTTCGCTATTGCTTGCTGTAATTGCAGTCAAAATTAGAATAGTTAGCATGTATATCTAAATCCTTTAATTTGATTACTTTTTGTTTTTCAGGTTTATGTTTTGGACTGATTGGGGTGAGAAGGCAAAGATTGAAAAGTGTGGAATGAATGGAGACCTTGAAACAAGGCTGGAGATAGTTAATACCAGTATCCTGTGGCCCAATGCACTTGCAATAGATTATACTGTTGACAGAATTTGGTGGGCAGATGCAAAACTCCACACTATAGAATCATCAGATTTAAATGGAGGAAACAGACGGCTGGTGTTGAGTGAGAACATCAACCATCCATTTGCATTGACTATTTTCCAGAGCTACATTTATTGGACAGACTGGCATCTTAATGCAATCCACAAGGCTAATAAATTTACTGGTGAAGAGAGATCTATTGTGATGGAGAATCTGTTTTCACCAATGGATATTCATGTCCATCATAGACAGCGACAACCTATAGGTAACTTTAACTACTTACATGATTGAATGACATGCAACCTCTCCTCACAATTCCTATATATATATATATCATTTTGGGAAAGATACTCTGTACTTCATTCTCATACCAAGAGTATCAGTAAGGCAAAGAAGTACTGGCAAAGTGTCAAGGAAATGATGAAATGTTGTTGGTAACTTATGATGCACCTGTGCCCTGAAATGCAGTAGACAGATAACAGTGTGAAGTCTTAGAAGACTATTTTTTAAGTATAAGTGAAAATGGCCCAGGCCGTTTGCATAGTAGGTGGAGAATTCTCTAACCTTCATACTAAATGAACACCCCCTAACTGGTGTGTGGCCGAGTGGGCAAGGGGATTTATGTTCCCTTGAGTTTCTTGATGCAGATGAATCATGGGAATGCTCTTGTGAAATAGACCACTTGACTGGATTGCAGCTGAATTGTAGCTTAAATCATTGATATCTTAATTGAACTTTTTCAATTTCCTTTGAAAACAGGAATGAATCCATGCACTGTTGTGGCAGAGTATGGCGGCTGCAGCCATATTTGTTTATTAGCTCCCAAAATTAAAAAATATCCAGATGGTTTCTCCTGTCACTGCCCCTCTGGTATTAATCTGCTTTACGATCACAGGACCTGCAATACAACAGGTACCAGTCTTGTCTGTAAACATTTGGTTAAAAGAACTTTTAATGTATTTTTTCTTGGTGTTTAATCTTAAAACTTCTTGATGAGGTTTTTCTGTGTGTGTGCTTTTGTTGTTTCTCTCCCCTCCTACAAATCTGGTAGGTTCCATCAGTAAAGTAAAATATTTAGTACACTTTTATGAAAAATTTTTGTGTTGAGGAGTAAGTGTTTCTAGCTGTGACATAATTGATCATTTGGTGATCTACTTTCATAAACCCAGGCACACTCACATAACTGCTTTAATGTATTTTTAAGAGTACAGTTCAGAATGCTAGGTATCAAAGCTCTTGTCTACGTATTTTGTTAGGGAAGAAATCTTTCTTGTTCAATTGAGCAATTTATTTCATACTTTTTCCCAATGCCATTTCCAGAGCAGCTTAATTTCCTGTAGTACCTTGTCCTTTTACCTAATTGAAGGCGACAAAATGTTGTCTCAGTAGGGCTTGCAAGATTTATTTATGCTTGGGAAACCTTTTTTGCGCTCAAACAACTAAAAAGACAAACCATTCTTTGCTCTCAGATGAAAAAAACACTTGTATAACTTGGAAAGATTTTAGTTTAAAACTTTCTATAGAATCAGTCTTTTGTCTTTATTTTTTAATAAAAGTTGAGATCAGGATCATATTGAAAGGAAAACTCTAGGACTAAGGAATGTTTGTTCACTCATTATTTAAGTTTGGGCTGATTTGTACCCTAAATCCCAGTAAATGAAGTTTTCATCATACTTTTTTTTATCTTTCTAGATGCTTTCAAATGCACAGATAAAACATGTCGTAATGGTGGAACATGTGTAATAAAAGAGGAAGGGGCATTACCATCTTGCGAGTAAGTCTTTTTTTTCCTCGCATTTTACAATCAGGAAGAAAGTTGTCTTTTGTATTGTTGTCCTGTTATTTTTGAATAATTATCATGGATAAAAATGAAAACCAAGATTCTAATATTACTTGGACAACTCTGAACTCCGTCTCCTTCATCTTCTCTGTACTGGTTAGCAGGGGATGTTAAAGAACCCACACACTTGTTGCGAAGAGTTGGGAACGTAGCTTTTGGTGTTGTTGTCTGGCTTTTTATTGTTTATACAGGCTTCCTTATAAATCAGTTTTAATGCTGAACTGGGCCAGCCTAAAACTAAATTTTTTTTTTTATTTTTACTTAAGATGTACTTACGAGTTTACAGGAAAGGATTGTAGCATAAAACGCAGCCTACCTCCTTTCACTGCCAGTCCCACGTATACTACACCTGGAATGAGTGGATTGCATGAACTTAAAGGAGAGGATGCTGGTGAGTAAACTAGATGAGCTTTGTCTTAAACTCCCAAGATCTCATCATCAATTTTCTACACCAAAGTCCATGCACTTCTTATAACTTTAGATCTGAGAATTTGAACTTAATTCCAACATTATCTCATTTTCTCCCTACAGTGCTTTGTTGTTTTCACTTTGAGTTCTCATTGGCACCTTGCAATGTTTTCTTTGACCTGAATGCAGTTGAGATTATTTGGTCTTGGCTTTACATTACTCAGTACCTAGCCTGGGTGGTTTTAAGGGTGGAGAATGGTCTGCACCAAATAACCCTTATCTGATGAATGAAAATTTCTTGGAAATGTTTCTTCTTTTTGTTAGCGTAATGGTTTTATGAAGTCAACAACTGATGCTTTGTATCTTTCTTGCAGGTGTCACAGCAGCAATATCAGTTGCTGTGGTAGTAGTCCTTTTAGCTCTGGGTGGCTTGATCGTATGGCTAGTTTACAGAAGAATACGTAGAAAGTAAGTGTTTCCAAGTCAGGGTAATTCAATTGTTGTTATCATTAAGTAACAATAGAATTTCAGAGCCCTGTCACCTGAAAGAGTGATTATCACCATCAACCACATTTCAAATTTTGCTGGATCAATTAGGTTTTAAGTCCCTCATTCCTAGATGTGATTAGAGTAAGGCTGAGAGATGGCAGTGAGTTTTAATTTAGAGAAATGTTTGCTAAGCCAATTCTGAGTATTTGTGTTACAGCAGTTACAAGTAATTATTGTGCTTATGGAATTTGAAACTTTTTTTGGGGGGGTGGGGGGGTTTGTTTGATTCAATGAAATATAATATAATATACCATGTCCTGAGAAAACAAGGAAAAAAGTAAAATAAAGAGAACAAGACTAACCAAGAATATTAAGGGATGTGGTGAAAAGTCTTCTGTTAGCAAAATCCTGTTTTGTTACTTGATGATCATGTAGAAATTTTAATGATTTTGTATTTGTTTTCAGCAATCTTAGATCAATGAGTTTTGATAACCCTGTGTATAAGAAAACTACGGAATCTAATGGCTCACTGGATAGAATAAGTATAAGATTTGGTCATTCTCACGGAAAATGTCAGTCATTATTGGTGAGTTGATGTTTGATTATAGGGTTTAGTAATAACAACATTACACCCTGCTACATGACCTCTAAACATGGGTTGCTGAATCAGTGAAATTTGTGGCAAATAAAGTTCCCAAGATGTTTCCACTCCATGATAACTAATTAAAAGCAGTTTCTACCTGTAAAGAACAAGTCTCAAGTTTATTCCATAAGCTACCATTCCAAGACTCGAACTTATGTTGTATTGTGGCATTTTGTGACTTTTTTCCTTTTCTCTTTTTTCCAGAGCTCATTCCGGAATGAAGTTGAAATTCACAGTTGCTAGCATTTCAATTGTTATCCAAATGGCAAAGGCCAGAAAATCTGAAGAGACTGTTGCAAATATTTTTTTCATTCTTGTCTCTGCTATCTGTCTGAATTTAGAGCATTGTGAACTGAATTATATTTTAAAGCTGATAATGCACATTTCAGCCTTTAAGGAGTAGTAAAATTTGTTTGAAGTTCATGTTTGTACCACAACATACATGAACTTCCCTTTTTTTACCAAAAAAAAAAAAATATGTTTTCTGCTTCAGAAGTACCAATACTTTTTTTTGCACCAGTCTTTAAAGATTGACCAGCCTTTGCCAAGTGGGTAATAATTCATTAAATAGGTTGTCAAATTAAGAATATATATATATTATATACATCTAGTTATATAGATATTCATAAGCCCATCCTGGAGATGATATGGCTTGGCATGCAGATTGTATAAGTGATATTTAAATAATTGTAATTTTTTTGTGTTAAGGTTCCTAGTGTTGCTTGTCTGTTTGGGGAAAACTCATTTGAAGCCTCTTTGATTGCTGTGTGATGTGATTACTAATGTCACACAGCTTTTTTGGTAAACAATAGTTCTTGTTTTTGCCTCCGTCTAAGAAGTGGGGGGGGGGGAAAGGGGGGGACGGGGAGTAATATTTTTGAAGTGGCTAAGAGTGAGAGAAACAGACAAATAATGCACAAGAACTCCTGAGATGAGCCAAGATTTAGAAAAACTCCACATTATTTTTTCTCTGTTCCTTTTGACATTAAGAAGGTAAGAATTTGGCTGTTTTTCAACACAGCATCTGGAAAAATTAAGACTTCTTCTGGCCTGATTATTGATTTGTTTCAACTGAGATGTTTTTGAGCAGGTGTTATTACTATTTTCTCATGAAATTTTTGTTTTTGATTTGTGTAGACAACTGAATCTTGGCTTTTTGAACCTTCCTTAAACTAAAGAATTGATCAAGCAAATGAAAGTGTTTACTGCAATGATTGCTGTTGCCTTGTTCATTAACTCTTGTTCAAGGGCAAGTCACATTCTCTTTTTGAAAACTCAAATATAAAGAAATCAGGTCAATATGTTTTAACGGCCATAAAGGCTAGTATTATAGAAATTAATACATAGAACACAGGAAATATCTGCTCACAAACATTTCAGAGGAACATGGAAGATGATAATGATTCTAAATGATTGCATCAGCTGTAAAAAGATCAGATTTATACCCTCATGTACACATAGATTTAAAGTGTTGTAAATGTATGTAATTGCGCCAGCTGCGAGATAATTATTTCTAATGATATGAAACACCTTGAATATATATAAATATTTTGCTGCAGCTGGTTAAAACAATGAAAACATTTACTGACACAGGTCTTAGTTTTGAAATGTTTAAGGAAGATTGCAGTCTTATTTATTTAATATGCTGTACAAAAGGATACTAATGAACATAGCCCATGTCAGGCTGTATTTTTGTTTTCTACAGTAATATTTTTCAAGAAAAAAAGGAAAGCATAGCGATCACAAAATTGAACGTGCTACAGTTTATGTGATGCAACTCTTTCACAATGTTTTCTGTATTTGGACAAGCTCAATTGTTTGATTTATGAACAAACCAGTTCTTCCCTTGTCGCAAATTTGTTTTTTAACTTCCTAAAGAACAGGCGAAAAGGACAAGAAACCATAGGGGCCCTGAAGAAGAATTATGTCAAATACACTGCATATGGTGAAAGTGTAAATTGTAAATAGAAAATTGACATTTAAATTTGGAGGCAGTTTGTATATTTTACCGAGAAATCTGATCACATTCATATTATTCTCCTTTGTTAATATTATTTTGATGGAAATTTCACATTGTCTCACTTTAGGGTTGAACAAAAATAGTTTGTCATCTTGTCCAGACTATGTGATTTTGGTTTGATTTTTGGTTTCTGTTTTGATATTATTCATACTACTTACGATGTTTGTATCATGGTATCTTGACTGTTCAAATTTCTTCAGTTCTGCAGTACTGGTATTCAGGAAATGCACCTTTAGTTATTTTATTATTAAGCTATTGGTAATATTGATGCTGAAACTTGCTGGAACCTGATAGTTAAAAAGTTTTAATAGAGTTTATTACCCTCATTCAACATTTCTGAAGTTCAAATAATGTTATGCGAATCTTAGAGTATACTTTTATTACATGGTAGTTCTAAACTATATGCAATTGTGAGGTAGTTCAAACATTTTCCACAAGAATTATTTGTATGATAAGTCATAAGAATACTTTTCTAAGTATTCATTTTTTGCAAGTTACTTGATAAAATAGAAGCCTAAAATCAAATTCAGTTTTAGAGAAAGTTAAGGTAAACTTTGATTAGCCTGAAGGCAAAATGCCTTCAGATCAGTGCATACAATATTTAAAGTGTGGAAAATGTCCTTTTCTTTATGTGGATAATAGAAATGTATATAGTAATTAAAGAGGTTAAAAATTGCCATGCTATTTGTATGTCGGCAAGTATGGAATAAAATGATTGCTCTTCATAACAACCGGTTTTATTTGATTTAAATTCAGAGGAACTTTCCATAACAACACAAACTGCCCCAAGAATTTTATATTCATTCAATGTGTGTGCTATGTAATGTTCACTACACACAAAAAGGGATCTTACAATTCAGTAGTGCTCGGAATACTAAATGTGTACTACCTATCTATGTATTAATATAAAACAGCACTTAGCCCTAAACACCCTAGCATCAGTATGTAAATTCTCTATACTGTTTTCTATTAATTTTCTATGGTGCTGACAAAGAATTGTTGACAATCAAGAGCTTCTAAAGTTAGAGATAATTTCCGATATTCTCGTAACCTCAATGTTTGATTTTAGGGTGATATTATAAGGAGGAATTAGATGCAGGTCACTCTTGGGGGCTGAAGTTATTTTGCCTTAAGAACTCTCTAGGTTGAAGTGGTGAAAACCCGAGTCAGGGCTTAAAGAACTCTTTCTAGGGGTACGAAGACAATATTTTTTGTCTTTTTAAAATAAGCGGTGTGTTTTCTTTTTAGCTACCCCCTCGTCGTGCTAGCTCCTTGGTTAAATTGGGTAACTCCTCGGGAATGTCTAAAGTGTCCCCGCCCCCCCCAAAACGCCTTCTAGTAGTTTGGAATGCACGTTCAGACTTATGCTTTTCAAACGTAAATAATATCGCTTCCAAAAATCAAACCTCGTTAATCTATTGCAAAAATTAAAAAACAATTATGACAATAGAATAAGAAAACTGACAAATCTGCCTCAAAAAAAGTATTCGTAAAGTTTTGTTTGATGGCTGAAAAAATTTTTTTGCTGGAACCGCACTGAAGATTTTTTACTTTGGCCGCCCGAATAAGACTGAATGAAGACTTAATTGAAGTTTGATCCCTCGTACAACAATTCAACAAACGTTTGTAAATTTATTTTAAACCAGGAGTATACTTTGGAAAATTTTCTCGTTTGACTGCTGTAAAAAGTTTATATTATCTCTTGACTGCTGTAATAGAAAGGAGAACCAAGATACGCCTATTCAAGACTTAAGTCCGACCGGTCCTGCTTTATTATTGTGAAACACGGAAAATCACAAAGACCGATTAAAGAAAACTAAACATTTTCTAATGCCAATGCTAATGATGGATATTGAGGATTAGATGGCAGCAAAGAATGACAAACAAGAGAGTACTTCAAATGGCAGAGATCAATGAAATTAGCTGTGAGGTGACAGAGAGAGTGTGAACGACCGCTTTGCGGCATTGGAGTGGACACCAGAGGGTCGAAGGGCGAGAGGGAGACCAAAAACCTCTCGGAGAAGGACTGTCGAAAGAGAAGGCAAGGCGGGGTGGAAGAGCTGGAATTTGGCTAAGGCGGCAGCACGCGACAAGAAGGGGGGGGTTGGGCGGACAATGTGATGGCCTTATGCGCCTTCTGGCGAAATGAGCGATGATGATGATGGTCAAATAGATGCAAGTCCCAAGTTACTATGGTTGAGTAAGGGAGCCTCGAGTTATGTCGTTTCCTCTCGTGTAAAGGCTGATATAAGGGGTGCGTGAGGGGATTGTCTCGCTCGTTCCTTGCGTGACTCAGCGTTGGCCTCTCTCTCTTCACGGGTGACTGGGTAGGCTGGGGAATTTAATTGAAGCTAATGGCATCCTCTCCGAATCAATACGTAAAAGTTCACTCCTGCTAAACTCCTCGTTGGGGCGTTTTGCCGCGCGTGTAACGTGACACGTTTTCTCGGACGAAACGCATTGAGAACTAGTTGAACGTAAAAAAAACATGGCGGCGTAAATATCGAGATTTTATGATAACGATAGAATGCACTGCCTATTTTGAAGCTAAATTCAAGGGGAAAAACGTAAAATCAAATATCAAAAGCCTTAAAGTACATTTTAACTCTTATTTGATGGTGATTGGATCAAAGAAATCTCCTCACAGGGGCTGCAAATCTGTGGAATGGGAACTTTGTGTGACATCGACTTTCAGAGGTAAGGACTAAACCTGAAAAATTACTTTACTCTACGATAAGAATACCTCAAATTACTTCTGCTGACTGTTAACGCACTGAGAACTAGTTGAACGTAAAACAAACATGGCGGCGTAAATATCGAGATTTTATGATAACGATAGAATGCACTGCCTATTTTGAAGCTAAATTCAAGGGGAAAAACGTAAAATCAAATATCAAAAGCCTTAAAGTACATTTTAGCTCTTATTTGATGGTGATTGGATCAAAGAAATCTCCTCACAGGGGCTGCAAATCTATGGAATGGGAACTTTGTGTGACATCGACTTTCAGAGGTAAGGACTAAACCTGAAAAATTACTTTACTCTACGATAAGAATACCTCAAATTACTTCTGCTGACTGTTATTTTCAGCTGTAAAAGTAAGCTCGTAATCTGATCAGATTCTCGTGATATTCTTTAAACACAGTCCCTATTACTACAATTGTACACAATATTTTGCGGGAAATTCAAATATTCAGCATAAGAAGCGCCAACACGTGCGTAATGTGATGTGATGTTTTAAAGTTGTTCAAAACTCTTGTTTTAAGCGGCCGAGCTCGCTGCCTTCAAACTTCAGTTATTGACTTTAATTAAAGATTTCCTTATTTCAGGGTGAAAGGTGTTAAAAAGTACTTTATTGTGCAGGATTCATGTGAAACATTTTCAACACCCTAAATTTGCATTTTTTGCCGTTGCGCGTGGATTTTAGATCTAATTTTTAAAAAAAGTTATAAATAAATAAATGTACGAATAGATATACTTCTGGGATATTTTGGTTATAGATGTGGCGAGGGTATCATCAACCTCATCATTCGGAAAAATCCAAATTTGTGTTTACTTTTGGCACACAGTACTGCCCACGTGATTTACCATGACAAATATATTTTTTTCTTAAGATTTTCCAAGAAAGTTAAATATTTTAGCCTACATTGACTCAAATGAAAAAAAAAAAATTTTTGGATGTAATATGCAATGAGGTAATTTGTTAGTATTTCTTATTGAGAAGGGAATTGCCTGAAATAATGACCAATAATCACAATTATTCACAGAAGTGGAGGTGATGAATATTTACCAAGGTGCAAAGTGGCAAGGTAAATATCCACC